GCAACTTTTGTCGGCAGTATTTTCTATTAAGATTTAATTGGAAATTGTTTCTCTTTCACAATATTTCACTTGCACTATGATATACATATATATAAGAGAGAGAGAGATAGAGAGAAAATCGTACTCATATAATTTTAGAATTACATCAAAGCCTGGTGGGAAGTTAAATTTGGTGTTTCATCCAGTAGTTTCCCCTCAGATGACAACGATATGATCTGATTTCCATCATTCCTCGGTTTGATCAATGAATATTTCTTTAGAGGTGTTTTAAATACATCAGCGGTAGCACAAACATTCCGTCTTATTTTCTTCTTATTCCCTGCACGCAAACAGAGACCTTAAGTGGACCGTATGAGCCCAGACACCTGTGTTTGTGTTTTTCCAGCTCTGGAACTGTGCTGTGAGGTACACAAGAGGAACTATGCTGATAATGGGCGCTTAGAATAAAGGATTTTAGAGAGTACTGTGCACAGCTGGACGTGAGGATATTCGGAGTGACAGGCCGTGCGTCGTGAACACGGTGTTAACCTGCTGTTGATGGCTAAAACGTCTTAAATGGGGTCTGTTGAAGCCCATTCTCTAGGAAATTCATGCAAAGGGCATTTTTCTTGTAGTGTAAGCCACACACCTGATTCACTGGCTTAAATTGAAAAGGATTGTGGCTCAGACTGACTTTTAGCAGTATTACACTAAAATCTCGACATTAACACCGCTTAAAGAAGGAATTTATGGAAATTCCAGGTTGTAGGGCAAACTTTAGGGTTTTAAAAAGTCATCAAAGTAATCCTAACTTGATCCCTGGTTTAAAACCAAAATAGTTTCATTGCCAAATTGTTACAGTTAGGTCTTTTATGTGACACACAGGAAATAATGTGGTAAGCTTGCACGGTGTGATGTAATTTAGATGCAATACATGCTGTGTGAGCTACTTTAACAGGAAACTTATTTCCCCCCCTCGTGCATGTATATCCCGCATGCTACTTTTAGGAGTGTGCAGTAACTTGACGTGCAAGTTTGTAGAAAGTTTGTAGCTGTAAGTAAATGCAGAATATATTACGACCTGACAGATAATCACTCATCTTATTCTAAAATCGGAACAAAACAATACCAAAAAAACATTGTACCCTTTTTTTTTTTTTTTTGAGCTAAAGCTGCGCGTGACCTTTTGTGTATAACAGCTTGCTTCTCTCGATGAGTCTCATGCATGGTTGCCGGGGCCCAGGTTTCACGGTGTTGATAAAGGTAGGCAGCAGTCGCACACAGGGGCCGCACACAATTGTTAATAGCACTCCAAAGAGTGTCGGAGACACAGCCCGACGTTTTCACCGCGGACCTTTTCCAGTCCATGTAAGCGTAAATTACATAAGGCATTTATTTGCTCGCTCACAACAAGACGCGTGTCTGTGGCGACGCCCCGCGGAGGCGGGCGATAAAAGCGACCTTTTCAGGAGGGCCCCGACCTGATGTGTGATGAAGCCTGATTATGGATTAGAGTAACAACAAACACTTGACGGAGCTAAAGAGCAGCGGGAGCGTCACCTTTTCCCTCCTCTTACACCTCGCTGTGCTGACGTGGGGGAGGATTGTTGTGACTGGTGTTGGCGGTGACTGGCAGTTGGATGGTGGCAGACAGCAGAGCCAAAAATTCAGCCCAGCTCCAGGTGGGGTGAAGGTTGCCCTAACCCGGTGTTTTTCAACCACTGTGCCTCGGTACGCTAGTGATGGTCAGGTGTGCCGTAGAAAATCATCCTATTTCACCTAATTGGTCTAAAAAGATTTTTTGATAAGGAATTAATTATCTGCAAATAACCCTTTTTTTGTGTCTGTGCTGTACTAATAACTGGTGGCGTAATCATGTAATAATTCCTTATGACTAGATTTTGTATATAATTTTGTATATTGAAGTGGACATGTTAAGTGCAATTTGAAAGAAGAAATATAAAATATGATAAAAAATACATTTTTGTGTTTATTTGATTACTATTCAAGACACTTAGGGTAAGATAAGAATGATATAAGAATAACTATAGTGTCACTATAGGCGGATACAGATTTTTTTTAACATTTTTGGTTGGTGGTTTTCTATGAAAAAATGTACCTTGGCTCAAAAAAGGTTGAAAAACACTGCCCTAACCGACCGCTAAGGACACCTTCTCTCACGCCGGTGTAAAATGAGGTCACTTGGCAAGGCACGAGAAAGAGAAAATGACTTGTGACATTTAAGTGTTCATGAAAAGCATAATGATGTCTGCTTTGACAGATGAGCAGCGCTGGTCGTTGCTCTTGAACAGGAGACCTGCCAAGAGAGAAGCTCTATTTACCTTCTGTGGCAAAGCCAAAATGACAAACCAAGGCAGCCCAGGCTCCCATCTAAATGGTCCACTACAGCAGTGGAGAATCTTTTTCTATTTCTGGAAGAACATAGTGGAAGTGCTGCTGCACAGAGATCTAGTTATTTGTCTTTTTTTGTCACAAAACAGTGATAAATACCTTGCTCACATGGTATATACAATAGATACACATTATTGGTGAGAGAAAAAGACTTGAACGCATCACAGTTTTGTTCATTTCCCATCTCCATCTCTTGACAGTACATTAGCTTTTAGTTGTTAGATGAATTTCTCTCTTAAAGCACAAATATCTCTGAGTGGCTTCACTTTGATCAATGATGTTTTTCTCTCTTTTTTTACGAAAAGAAACTAAATTCTGAGAACACTTAAACGTAAGCGGGAAAGAACCTCTTTTGAAAATAACATCGGATCAAGGTCTTCTTGCCAGTTTTTCGAGAGGTTAAACTCGTGTGGAGGAGTAAAATTCACTCTCCTTTTTTTTTTTAGATACTATTTCTAAGTACGAACGCTCATGCTCAAGATTAATCCTATTTAGATGAGATGAAAGGTTATAAGTCATAGCAGTGCTTGAAGCTAGCGTAAATCACGAGTCGCGTGGTGACTTTTCAATCATGTGTCTGTTATTAAACTGTGCTCATACTAAGACACCAACGATTCCTTACAGCCACGTAAGGATAGAGATGGCGACATTTGTCACTATTCTGTCTTGGGTATGGATAAACTATTCCTTGGCATAGATTACTATTGACAAGAGCAAGCAGCAACAGGGGTCGAGGGCTGTTGGTAATGGCCTGTGATTGAACACCTTGTGCTTAAGTCCTGCTGCGCTCTGCCTCATTAAATCTGGCAGGTCCTCTGTTCAGCACGCTGCATTGCAGGACAGAGTCAGACCCATTTAACATTCTCGAATACAGCGGCCCCTAGAAATGCATGGATTTTGCGATCGTTTTTGCGGGAAGCGGTTTTTAGGACTGTGATGCTCGAAACGAGTCACGTGTCTCATATCAAAGGTTGTTTTTTGAGCTGCAGCTCTAAGGAAGGGGCACAGACTCCAGGCATCATTTCTAATGAAGGGTTCAACTTTTTATTTAGCTATTAATTCGATCACTTAATCCAAATGTGTAGCCAACCTTGTTTACAGCGGTTCAAACATTAGTGTCCTATTATCACATCAACAAACAGTCTCAGAACTCATAAAAGAAGATCATAAAAAGGCTTGTTGTTCATTCATTCAGTGCATATTAATTCACATTTTGACCATGGTGATTGGGCTCTTTTATTAAACTCTGATGCATTGGTTTTGGTTGGTTTGCTGTCATTTGGGCTGGCCTTCCTACTGTCCACACATTTGACGTATTGTTTCTGTGTACTGTGCTACTCATCGAACTCACTGAAAGTCCCTACCTCAATGAGCAGCTTCTATCCTCAGGCCAATTCTGTCCACCTCGCCCGTTTCGGCCACTGTCGCCTCCCATCGGGGAGGATTCCTCTCCTTTACCAGCCTCTGTCCATCCCCCACTTAAGTTCTAGCAGGCCTGCCACTCTGGACCCATTAAGACACTGCCGGTACTGCTGCCGCCCCACACACAAACCGCCCGGGCCTTTATAAATAGATGACACGAGAAGTAGAGAGTGGCTGGTTAGAGGGGGTAAATTATTCCGAAACAGCCAAACAGGACTGAATGCCCCCCCCCCACCAAAACTGTGGCTTCTCCAGCTCCTCCGTTCAGATGTCACTTTGGGCCGACTCAATTTTACACTGTAATGGACCTCCCGGTTCAACTACTTTTCTCCCGCCTTTCTTTCCTTTTTTTATCTCTCCACCACTCTCTTTATCTATCAGCAGCTGACAACACCTTTACTCACTTCCCTGCAGCACACAATTATTCCCTATACTGACTGTATACTTTGGACCACTTAATTTTGTCTAACAGTAATCGAAGGAAGAACTTTGCCCTCAAAGTGTGGTTTGCAGGACAGAGGGGCAGGAAGTCGGGAGCAAAGCCAGTTTCCCATATGAAAGGCTACATGAAACATCTGGAAGATCACTCAGAGATTTAAAAAAATTTTTAAAAACTTTTATTTAAAAAAAATGTATCAAATAGTCATGACTGAAAGTGTAAAAGAGACTTAAATTCACATCATACATTAACAGCAGTCCCTTATCACTCATCATTTATATTTTATATGGATCATCTTGTTCTTTTTCATCATTTTATTACTCACATTCTTCTTGTGAAATAAGTGGATGTAATCCAGCCGATAAATTTTAAGCCAGTGGCATAACAGTGATAAGACGAAACATGTAAAACTACTGGTGAAGTAGTATCTTAATGATGGCGCGATTCCATTTTTATATATATATATGATATTTTTATACTTTGGAAAAAGGGTTAAATTAAGGAAATTTTGGTATCTTATTTATATATATTATTTATATTATTATATATATTTTTATACTTTGGAAAAAGGGTTAAATTAAGGAAATTTGGTTGTCATTGGTCTTTGTTACAACAATATAACAATATTCCAGTAGTGACCAAAGTGCATACTATTTTTGTATTTTAGTGTGTGAATGCTTGACCTATGCTTCCAAGCTATTCTCCAAAGAAAGAAAAAAAAATCTTTATCTTGTTAAATGATGTTAAAATGTTCAGAATATATGTGTTTGTACCACAAGGCAACTACGCCACCAATTTTGATACTCTGTGAGGCACAGATTAAAACAATATCTGGTGTAAGATTTGAGAAGTTGGAAGGTGAGAGGAGAATATTTAGTGATATGTCTATCTATGTTTTGAAAAAAGTAAGATTCTTGTATTCTTCAATTCTTCTTGGATTTTTTTTTACATGTTCATCTGTGTTTCTGCCTGTGCTTGTCACTCTCAGTCTTTGTGTTCCCCCTTTAGCAATCTCATATTACTTTGATAACAGCAGTGACTGACTGAGTTCTTTTAAAGTTGATACACACTCACAGATTGTACACCTTTCATCTTAACGTGTTGCGTCACTGTAACTACCCTAACTTCAAAGTAAAGGGTTTTCTGTGTGGCGCTTCCACTCTTTGTTCCCCGGCTTTTTTTTCTTTTCTGTTTGTTCTAGAATGAGTGTAGGTATCTGGGTTTCATATTTCAACTCTGCTCAAGCCCAGAGGTCAGAGGTTTGCTGACCTTTTACATTCCAAAACCTTTTTTTTTCTTCTTCTAATTCCTCTTTTTTTGGGGCCAAAGTCTCAGAGAGGCCTATTCCACCCCCACCAATGTCCACTGAGCACACCCTTTTTGTTACCGGCTTCAGATCAATTACAGAGTTCTGATGATCTTACTCTCTAACCAACTCATAGCATGTTACTTTTTGTCCTATATTATAATCATCAGGCAATTTCCGTCTGATGTAGCCTGGAGGAAAAATTCACTGAGCTAGACTAAGTCAAATGATAAACTACCAAAGAGGGAGTGAGGGAGTAATAGAATGGTAGTGAGAGGGAGGTGGGATTGTCAATCAAAGTCATTTTGGTATCAGCAGTCTTTAAGGGATTCCAGAGGCAATCAATCTCCTTCAATTCAATGGCATCTTTTTGATGAAAACAAGACTGCATTGGAGGGAAAAAAGCAAAGGGGAATTATGAGCCATGGAAGAAAAATGACATTTTCTCTCACATTTGTCATCCTTCAGTCTTTTATAACTAAATTAAATAACCTTTCTTTTAATCAGGTAAGAAATATAGGTTTTTACCTATACAATGTTTATCTTGCAAAGGGATTGTTTAAGAAGTCAAGTGTCGTCTGACAGAAAAAAACAAAATCCTCTCTTGATTCACCTGAACTTGTTTGGGACATGAAGGCATCGTGGGTCCCATTATAGATTAGGATTCCTCCACAGTCTATGTCTATAAATGAAACTGGGTAATCCTTTGTCCTGGAATTTGCCCAGTTTTCATCCAAAGTGACAAATTCATGGAGATATTTAGGATTGTGGCACCAGTGTTGGTCAACATAAGTCGCAATGTTACCCTACAAAAAGATCTACACTACAGTAATATGATAAAATCCTTTGTAAGCATTCCAGTGCAAGAAAAAATGAAACATAGAAGCATACCTAAAGTCATAACGGACGAGGATAGCATTTGCCAATGTTTGTTTTGATTCCCTACACGCACCAAAATTAGATTTCTCTTCCACTTTCTTCCTGGGCTGCGTTCCTCATCCCCAAAACTCAATCTCCCATCTTTACCTGCTTCCACCAAACTCCTCCTATCGTCATCCCCGCTCCATCTGCGTTCTTTAGCGTGCAGAGCAGCAGAGGCGGTGATTGATCTGGTGTGGAGGCTGTCATGGGCCCTCCTCCTCCACTGGTTATGAACATGAGGCGGGCTGCTCTTCATAGATTTTTAAATTAGTGTCAGCTTTGCCCCAAAGATGTGTTATTGACTGATGAAATAGAAACTGAGCTCCAAACACTCAGTCCTTCCCTAGAGTTTTCCCCAGCCTGGTAATTGAAAAAGTGTGAAGGGAGTGTGTTCAAAGGGGCGTGCAGCCCAGCCTGTGTGTTGTTTGCGCGCTCGCAACTGTGTGCTCTTTATCTCTGTTGGAGAAAAAAAATGCACCATGTTTGCGAGAGTCAAGATTCGATTGAAGTATTGCATAGGAGATCTTTATCTTTTTCACACGCCCGCCCTGAAACATGAGCATTGTGTGCAACTTTAATCCTACGAGTGCAGCGTGCCTCGCGTCAACCTTTAAGGGAACAGTTTGAAAAAATACAAGTGCCTCCGCCATTGTTGATTATCCCGTGGCTTAATCACTGAATGTGCATAACCGTGTGTGATTTGTTTATCCCTGTCTGGCCACCATAAAGTATTGTTAAGAGACGCAGCAGCCCTGGATAGTTCTATAGTGATATCCTATCGTCATTCCAGCCATAGAATTTTTAGTGACTGCACCGAATTGCATTTACCAAGAGACATTTGCCAAGCAAAACAAAACAGATTATTAAATCATCTTGCCCGGCTTCCAACTTTAATGAGCTTGTGGTGTCCTTTTCTTTTTGGTTTCTTCTCCAGGCTCAGACATGGCCATCTTCTGCCTGCTTTGCGGGAAGCGTTTCCAGACCCAGACGGCACTGCAGCAGCACATGGAGGTCCATGCCGGCGTGCGCAGCTACATTTGCAGTGAATGCAACAGGACGTTCCCCAGCCATACTGCACTCAAACGCCACCTACGCTCACACACGGGTAAGTGGAAGCACTTCGAACCAACTAAACGCCCATGATAACCCTATTTATTCCCCAAAGTGTATTATCCTCGACTCATCCGTAGCCTCTTCTATAGGTATGGGTCACGCTTCTGACAAACTAAGTACAGTAGCAGTAGTTTTCTTCCTCTTCTCAGCCACATCCACATGCCTGATGCACTGGCACTCCAGAGTAAATGGGATGTGTAATCGCTTTGCTGTTTTCTGGGTTAGCCTTAGGGTCCGCTCCCATTTCAGTTCAAAATACCTCCACGGCTAATCTCTCGGGGAAACCTCCGAACCACATGTCCAAACCACCAGAGCAAGCTCCTCTTTGCATGAATTGGCAGCAGTATGTATTTTACATTACTTGTTCAATCTGAGCCCCATTTGTTGACCCAACACTGAAACTTTGAACCTCCTTTGACTTTAGACTTGTACATTATGTGAGGAAGGTCAGAATTCAGACTGACAGGAGCAAGAAGGGTCTTTCCTTGAAGTCCTCATTCCCATTACAAGTGTAGACTGGACTTTTGCCTCGTCTCTAAAAAAAATGAATATGGCACTTGGCTGTTGTGTCTGTGTCTACAAAATACTGAACATTTTTTCTGGTGAAAAAATCCCCTAATATTTGTGAAAACACACAACCCATTGAGGATTAGTGGTGGCTCAAGCTGTTTATTAAGATATAAAAGAGTAGCAGATAGGCAAACACAGCCCAGTTTTAAAATATAATAGTCAACCAGACCCTCAATAACATTTGAGTTGATATTCCATATAATGTGGATATTTATAGAATCTTTCCCATCTGTGTGTTTTACAAAATGGCTGAGCCTAAATTAATTTAGGTATTTTAAGCCTTTAGTGTTAGGAATACAGGGACTGTCAGGAACACATGCAGCCTACAGGACAGTACAACACAATCTAAAAAGGCATGTTGTATTTTAGAAAATGTACCTCTACCGAATAAGCGGCATGAATTCAGGTCAACACCGAATGAATTCTGCTGCAGTCAGAGGAGGATTATTTGCAGTGACTATTGCATTTGTTTTGCTGTTGTTTTTTTTTCCTTTGGCCTACTATAATTCTCTCCATGCCGGCTCTTCTGAGACGAGGCCAGGGACTCTAATACATTTTTTTCAAGAGAGCCAAGATAGCTTGACAGATGTGGCTGTTCAGAATGGGGGTAAAAACGGAGCCATGACAGAATATGAACACATGGAAATGAATCCCATTTCACCAGCGAGGGGATGGGGTGCTTTTTTTTCTTCCTTTCTCTCTTTCTCTCAGTCTCTCACCCAGCCACCCATCTGCGACCTTAAATAACAGTCTCACTGTCAGAGCCGATTTAGCTCACCAGCTCACGGATAAATATTTGAAACGAAAGGCAGTGAGATGAGAGCAGTCGGCCCTATTTACAAGTCAGGCGAATACACCATTAGTGTGTGATGGCTGTAGGAGCTCGGGGGGCTTTGGCGTGGGGGGGGGCGGATGCGGCTGCTTGAGCCGATCCGTACAGTAGCGATGCACACATCTGTTCTCTCCGCCAGACATTGGAGAGGACACATGCAGCGTCTCTGATCCACCTGCCCACCCCGGCGACGCAAATGTCACCTCGGCTCGTCTCCCAGAGCCGCAGATGAGACTTTAGCCGCCTTTTGCCACTTTGAACTTCATCCCACTGTGGGCGTGTGTTAAATCACAACGAGCCAGCCGTGAAAGCAATCGTTTGAATATGATGCAGAGTCTTTTGTCAGGGGATTATAAAGTCAGCAACTCACGGGCGCCAGAAATAGGTCCTAATTTACCCCGCGAAAAAAAAAAAAAATAGTGGGGGGGGGGGGGTGGCATTGAGGCATGTTTCCTCCGCATTTACACTTTGATGTTAATAATCTCATTCACACTTTGTGGGGTAACAAGGCTTAAAAACAGCCAGAGCTAGACAGCGTATCCACCTTAGAGATTTAGACCTGTTAGTTTTCTGACATGAAGACTTCTTTGTAGACACAGACACGTGCACTCAGCATTTAGACTCCATCTTTTTTTTTTTCCCAAACTTTTTTTTTTATCGTGTCACACATTCCTAAAGTTTGATCCTTTGTTTTTCACATTTCCTTTCATTTTCCAGAGTCTATACATAGTCCCTTAAAAGTGTCCTGTCCCCAATAAACCAGTCTCATCTTGATTAGTTATTTTTAATATGCTTGTTATTGACATAACATTGTTGTAACATAGTAATGACAAAGATTTCTAATTTTGCTTCGTTCCTGTCAAATCCACATTTTAAAAAATCCATATGTACAACAGCGACCAGTGAAATTGCACTTGGTAAGGCAGTTCGTAAGGATTGTGAGTGTGATTGTGTGTTTTAAAATTTGATACTGGACTGGTCTTAAAGTGGGACTTGAAAAAGATTACTTTGCAATTCTCCACCTGCACCGAATGCTGATTTGGTCATGGATTTGGTCTGTTTTTTGTTTAAAAAAAGAGACCCTGAAGGATTGAAAGTAAAAAGAAGGAAATAAATATAAGGAAAGCAACAAAAAAAAAGGGTTATTGATGTTACATGATTGTAATTGCTGCTTTGTGTTGTCGAAACATAAAACAGAAATGGTGAGTTTCTCCCTAAATTATACTGGGTTGCGCTGTCTTTGTTTCCACGCACATATAGTCATCTCCAGCACACAAAAGAATCAAAGAGGCACTCACGAAGCAAATCTCTGGTTCCCGAAGGTGTTTTCCTGGGGAAATAAGACTCGATTTTGACAAGAATTCCCATGTAAATACCAAGATCTCAATTCCCAGTATTCAACTTTAATTCTAATGGACAGTCTTATGCGGCTGCCATGTTCTTGAGAAAGCTTTTCCGATAGAGCTCGGTTATTGGTGGAATCCGTATTCTGTTGTATCAGCTGACAACAGAAAAGCGGCAAAAAGCACGTTTATGGACATTCATTATGTGCGCTTCATTTTACCTGTCTGCTGCCTTATCTGTTGAAAGCAGACTTGCTGCTATGGGCTCTGACACTGGATCACCATTTAGGACGAGGAACGGGAGGAAAAAAAAAACCAGCTATAATGGTGTTTATTTCAGCATCTTAATCTTACCATCTCTCTTCCTTTCGCTCCCTTTGTCACAGTTATGTCCTTCCATCCACCTGCAGTTTCATCACCTCTTGGTGACATGCCATTACAGCCATGTTGCCTCTGTATTTCATTCAAATCTGTATCTTCATAGAAGATATGCACAGAACGCTGCTTGTCCGTGCACAAATACACAATGCTGGCTAGGAGAAGGGGCCAGTCATAGCAGCTGTGCTATTCCCCTTTCCTAGCCGCACACGCACAAAACGTGCACGCTCTCTCTTTACAGACGAGGCCTTCATTAATATTCTGTTGTTGTGCACCGTCTGTGTGTAAGTGTCTGTGCGCGTACGTGTGTGTTGTTTTTTTTGTTGTTTTTTTTTGTTTTTTTTTTCAACTCTGAGCCAATTTGCTGTCTGCCGTGGCGGGGTGTTTTGTGTTCGCAGCTGTATTTGATAGCACTACAGCCAGACAGAGAGAGAGAAAGAAAGAGAGAGGACCGAGGCCAGTTTTCTGGTCCTGGCAGCGACATAGCTAGTAATTTACAGCCTCTTACCATATATAATGAACACACACCCCATGTGCGCCCATGGGCACCCTCGGCGGCCCTTTGGGGTGTCGAAAGAGGTGATTGGAGGGGAGGGGGTCAGGAGACGCAGGTGGTGATGCTCGGGGGCACCCTTGGGTTCAGTCGGCATGCTGTGGTTCCACCTCACTGTGCTGGGTCCTCATCTGTGGAGTGAGTCCCTGCCATGTGGTAGCGCTGGCGAGAAAGAGAATGGAAGCTGAAAAGTGAAAAGGGATCGTGGCAAAAAAAGGAATTTGAAATATAGGAAAGAGAAAGCAATAGCGGCAGATTTGGCATGGTCTCTATAATTTTCAAGCACCCACGAGGATATCCTGAAAAAAATTAAGCCTGCTCCTTTAACATGCTCACAATGTGATTATAGAATTAAAGATGGTAGAATCTGATTTATTTAAAGCTCTAAAGTGTAGCCTTGCACTTTGGCATCCCCGAGTGGCAGAGGGAGATAACAAGAGTGGTGAGTGGGCTACTTACAAGATGCTGGAGTTGGGCAACAACAACTCTGTATTTTTTAGTTCTGCCTCAGCTGATGCCAGACATCATGTGTTAATGTTCTGTGGGATTCAATTCCCAATGTGAAATTATGAAGTCAGCATGTTTTGTGTTGGCTGTAAATGCTACACAAAAAGGCAGTTGTCAGTGGATTGACAAAAGCTCACTGTACTTTTTAAAGGCTAAATGCATCCTAAAATTGTACAGTTCAGTTACTGTTGTCTGTTCTGATTTAGGGTTTGCTTTTCATTGTAGTAATTGGTAGCTTACTAACAACTAAATCACTGAATGTGAAAAAAATTGGTGTAGTGTTTATGATTAATTTACATCTACAGCAAATACATGAATGGTACATTTCAATGTAAAAAATGTATGCGTACTACTTGATTTTATTTTAGATGTCAAGTCTTTTTAGCTGTTTGGAGGCCTTATTGGTGCCTCAGGGTCTTTGTTGTGATCCCGTCATTCCAGCCATTTTTGTGGCATGACACGGTCCAGTATCAGAAAACCACTGCTGTAATGACTATCTACTTGATGTTAAGCAATTTTAGATGGATGGTATCTGTAATAGTCTCATCCATGTGAACGCAATGCGTCCAGGTTTCTCAGCAGATCTGAACTGAGATGATCATAAATTCAGTTATTAATATTATCTTCGATAAAAGTGTAAAAAGCCGTGGCTCCGGAGCTGTGTAAAGAAACGTGAAACATGCTGTTTTTTTTCCAAAGCTGAGATAGAGAAGTCTTGCAACAGAACATTACGGGTAAATAACCCACCATAGGCCTCCTTGGAGCAATAGCATCCCACTCACTGGCCTGATAGGAGGCCCTAATTAAAGGTAGGTGAATTTGAGCTCGATTATTATTCTTCCAGCGTCGTGCGAGCCAACAGAGCTCTGTGATGGATTGTGATCTCGGCTGTGCCTGAGACGCTAGAAAGAGCACAATGTCTTACAGCGGGAGCCACTGATAACTTCATGCAGACAAATAAAGACTGTCACTTTTATTGATTTTTACCCAGCCCCCACTGCCACCACCATATATATCCACATTCTCTGTTTCATCCCTGTCTTGGTTTTCTCCCTCACCCCCTCCTTCCCCATTGCTTCTCTTTAATGCTGGTACATCCAACGTTACATGCCATTGGAAAACGTTTTCGTTCATAAATGTATGACACACCCATAATGTGATCAAATTCAAAGCCGTGTGCATTTGACATCCTCCTCTTTTTCTCATTCATTCTGAAATAAAACAACTACGCACATTCATACTGTACGTACTTGCATCAAATTTCAAATTAGATATGCGGAGGGGAGTGAAATCATCTCCAAATAGCAAGTCAGAGGTAGAAGAACATAAAGAGAAATGCAATTTATTCCCTGGCACGTTGCTGCGTGGACAGGCAGATAATGAAAGGCATAGGTCATTGATGGTGACTTAAACCTGCAGCAGCAGAGTGAAATACATTAATAAATATCCACAAAATTACTGGGATTGAGAGACGGGAGGGGGAGAAAATGACACAATGGGTGTCTCCTTCCAAACCAGTGGAGTACAATTAGTCTCTGGACTAATGTGAGAAGCTCCCGCAAATCATAATGCCCCTGATCATTGACGACTGAATATCCATTACAGCTGCCCAGTAGAGACCTCCACTGTGGCAGCCTGTGGAGCTGAAAATGGTTTTGCTTTTGCAAAGCACGGAAACTGTATGTTCATGACAAGTAAAAACACATTTCCGAAGTTTACAAGGATTCAGTGGGAATAAATATCTGAGTAGGCACAGTAACATTTGGCAGGTAGAGTAGAGAATTTTTAATGGAATCTATTAGTTGCAAATTCAAAATGGTTCATTTCTGAATGTTCTAAAACTCACAAAAAGAATGTTTGATGGTTCATCCACATAAAGACTGTTATTCATTTTAGTATGAATAGACACAATGTGTTAAGTTCTCTTTGACTTTGACCAATGTAGGTCAACAATTTATAAATACTGTTCAAATACAAGTCCAAAAAACAGAGTGTAATGACTGGCTGCCAATCCCAACTCTATTGTACAAGGTTTATTAACAAGGTCTTTTTTTTCTTTTCTTTTTTTTTAAAATCTACTTCGAGAAGATAAATTATTTTAGGTTTAACACATCCGTCAGGTTTTCCATGAATGCATAGTGACACTCTGACTGCGAGGTCAACAATACGAGCTCATGGTTGTCCGTATTCAAGACAGGCTACAATTATTTTAGGCTTTTCACAACGCATGAGTTCAGGTGATTTGAATAGGAAGACAAAAGATGGATTGTATTTGTCAGTTTGTTCAAATGGGTATCAATTAGCTCATAATGCCTAGTGCTTATTCGTTGTGCACTTCTCGTTTAAAAAGGAAGTTTCTCCTTTAAAGTTTCTACTTTTAGATGGAACATCATTTATTAGAAGTACTTATTCATAATGACTATCCAGATAACTCAATATTAGTTTTATTCATGCATTTAAATGAAGGCAAATCTTCTTTCTTCGATACTCATAATGGTGTACCGTTTTTTTTCAGTCTGTGTGTTTTCACATGGCCTCAAGAGGGATGTTTTTTCTTTTTGTGACAAGATTTTTCCTGTAAATGACGTGTCTTTTTCTTTCCCATTTCAGCGGGAGACCACCCGTTCGAGTGCGAGTTCTGCGGAAGCTGTTTCCGAGATGAGAGCACACTGAAGGGCCACAAGCGCATCCACACCGGGGAGAAGCCCTATGAATGTAACGGCTGCGGGAAGAAGTTCAGCCTGAAGCACCAGCTGGAAACCCACTACCGTGTGCACACAGGTGCTGCGACTAGACAAATTCAACCTGGGGGGACACACACATTTGCTTCGACATGCTTGTTTGCAGATCTGAGGTGTACTCTAAGTGGACATAAATTCAAATTATTGCTTTCCCCTACAGCTAATGATATCTCAATTTTTTTTTTTTTTCTACCATTCAGTTTACTAATCTTTTAGATGCATTTTTATGTGTTTTAACAATTTAGACTGGTACTGCAGAGGAGAGGATGAGGGAAAAAAACGTATTTTCTATCCACACATTAAAGAAAGAACATGTTTATTAATTAAAAAGCTTCACAATGATATATGATTTGGTCCTAGATAGAAAAAGAGATACTAAAATAGAATAAAATAGCCAAGCAGCAGGCCAGATGAATATCTGGGTTGCCGTGATACAGTAGATGAATGTCTGAGAAGACTTAGTATCGATCCAAGTATATTTAGAGTCCCATAAAGATGTTGACACAGTGATAGGCTAGGTGCCCTGGAGAATGAGTGCATGCTATGAACTTGACTGAGTGAGTATAGCCTGCCACGAGCGCTCACCAGGGTGGCGCACGGCCAAGTGTTTATGCTCCCCGCATCACCTTTTTTTTTTTTTCCCCCCCCATCTCCCTCCACACACACTCACAGCGGCGTCCTCCCATCTTCCATTCAATAAGCCAGCTGTTAAGCCACACTATCAAGGCAGCCTGTCCAATAATTGGCTCCCCTCTGTCCACCCTTTCCTCTCTCGTGTGGGGGAGGGGGAAGGGGGGGGGGGGGGGGGTTTGCGTTAAGCTGGAGAGCAACAGCAGATAACAAGAGCGAGTGACAAGCTCACAGTCAAAGGCCACCTCACACAAAAGGTAGCTGCTTGATGAATCATCGACATTGGCAACCTAACCCCCCCCCCCCACCCTTTTCTCTCTCTCTCTCCGCACATCCCAAATGCCAATGGCAGATCGATACCCAGACCCCATTTGCAATTCATTATTAGCTGGTTATTCGAGGCGACTCTGTTTACATTCCGGCTATCAATATCAACATCATGCGGGTGTCCACACTGAAACAAATGAAGACTCACAAAACTGTATTTATGGTTATTGGCTAAACGGCGGCATAATCGACCCTCCGCAGAGGTCAAGGTTAGCCAAGGCAGAACCCATGGCTTCTTTGCTCGGCACACACACACACACACACACACACACACACGAACGCGCGAGAATTCCAGCCGAAAGGTGACAGCCAGCGCCGGGCCAGATCACTTCCGACAGCTCATTTCAAATGCCATTGCTAAAGGTCAGCATTTACATGTCTAATTTGAGTCTGCCGGCTCGAGCGCGGTCGGATTATTCCCCGCCATCACTCAAATCATTAGCACATTTAGGACCGCCGCCGTTTCCAGACTTGAAATGTGGCTCTCGAATATCTCGCCTAGCAAGAAAGCAGCATCCCACTTTGATTTATGACACCTTTAGGGGTTCTTTCCTACATCTGCACATTGTGTGATGTACAATAGATTAGTTGATTAGAAGCAATCTTCAGAGCTAAAATCTGAAGTGTTTGCTTCTTATAGATCTTTTCTTTGATTCACTTGTTAACATTTATCTGTCATACAGTGGGGGAAATAAGTATTTGACCCCTTGCTGCTTTTGCAGGTTTGCCCACTTACAACGAATGCTTATTTTTCCTCATCAGATGGTTATCAATTTTTATAAATTCATATGATTTGATTTTCTGGAAAGTTCTTTGGGATTCTGTCTTTCACTGTTAGAATGTACATATGATTAAAGTTATAGATCGTTGCATTCTTTGTAAGTGGGCAAACCTGCAAAATCAGCAAGGAGTCAAATACTTATTTCCCCCACTGTATATATTTAGTGACAAATTGTGGTAAATGTATTTTGAGCTGTGTGTTTATTAGCTGTAAAACACTGATATTACATGAAGTCAACATGGCCTCGACTGTAATAGGACAGCTATGCAACACTGGCCAGATTCTGGTCATTTCTTGAAGTTCAGAGATGGTTGACATCTGAGACACCCCGAAGATTCCATAAATGAGAGAAGGATCACACTCGCGATTCCCTGAGAAGATCAAAAACAGATATTCACTGGTATTTAATTGATCTGTGACAGGGGTAGGAAAGTGGAGGAGGGACTGGAGAACTTGTGTTTCTATTCACATTGGTCCCAGCTTTAGAAATGCTGTGTTGCTCCTTATCTCTGCAATTACTTGAACGCTATACTTCGAGGAGATGCGGGCAAAACTACAAAAACAGAATTACTCATTAAATTGCTCAGGAAATAGATCTGTTGTGCAATTTTGATTCAAACAAAAACAAATGTGGGCTTTCACAGATAGGCACACAAAAATAACTTGAATTGGAATAAGTGGAGCCTTTGTGTAAGGAAAAATAAAGTTTTTTCTTTAGTTTAAAGATGATATTTTTGTGCTATACGGGTAAGTAGCAAAGGTTTAGCTCCTCATAGGACAAATAATAACTGATTTTTCTTGTTTTCAGAGTGATTTTTCTACTCTAAATCCCTTTTCCCCTTATCTGACACACTGATTACCCTTCAGCCTTAGAGTTGCATAAGAACTCTTGGCAATATGATAAACATAGTTGTTGTTTCAACCCCTTTCTTGTCATCCTTAGGTGAGAAGCCATTCGAGTGCAAGCTGTGCCACCAGCGATCCAGGGACTACTCTGCCATGATCAAGCACCTGCGCACCCACAATGGCGCCTCGCCCTACCAATGCACCATCTGCCTGGAGTACTGCCCCAGTCTGTCGGCCATGCAGAAGCACATGAAAGGCCACAAGCCAGAAGACATCCCTCCAGACTGGCGCATAGAGAAGACCTACCTGTACCTCTGCTACGTCTGAGGACGGAAGGAGCCAATGAGAAAAAAGGGGTGGGGGACGGGGCAGAGAGGTAAGGGGAATGTAACGGAGCGGGTAGGAGGCCTGGGTCTTAACGACTGGGTAGTCTCAACGGAAAGATACTCGAGACCGAGAGGGTTTGTTTTTTTTGTTTTTTTCTATTTCTCTTTTCAAGCAAAGGCGGCAGCGGGGGTAAAAGGGCGGGGACCGCGGGGGGCAAATATTACTAAGAAAAAAGGAAGACTTGGACGTGAAGAGACGTTTGTCCACCGTTGTTCGGACTCACCGGGTCATTCACTACATCTGCAACCGTCGTCACGTTTCAGGTCATTTCACGCAGCACCATTAAGACAAGCCAGCTGCGAGGAAGTGACTCCATGGATGCTGCTGCCATATTGGTGGGAAAGCAGATTCTCAAGGGCTATCTGAGCATTTACATTCATGCAATCGGGCAGGAATCAAATCCTTCACTCCATTTTTTCCCATCTTTTTCCCCCCCTCCTTGTTGTCTGTCCTCTGCATTCGTATTTGTGGTCGTTGGTTGAGAAAGCTTATCTCGGAGGAGACATATTTTTCCAAGATAATCAAAGTGAGCGGTGCTCCAGACTTTGAATTGCCGGCTTTGGATCAACATGCCACTTATCTTTTCTACTCGGGAATGCATGTGCGCTGCTTCATCTCTCCTATTCTGTCCACAAGCAGTGTGCGCAGATCTCCTGTGTACCACAAAAAAAAAAACGTCTGCAAGATAACCTGTCCATACATGAAATCCTTTTAGATGCGAGCAGTGGCAGTAAGATAGCCCCTGAGAATCAGCGGCAGAGCCTGTGGGCTTATGCAGTAGTTGAAACAGTCGAACTGAATAAGTGGGAGTTTTGAAATGCTGCAAACCGGGCACCCATTTTGGTCGTGGGCAGGAAAGATGCTTTTGCTGCTTTTCACCGGAAGTCTCCTGAGGTTTTCTCCGTGATCTTCCGGGTCCTGCATCTCTATCGGATTCGGGCTGGCGGTTGAGTCACCATTGGCCACTCACGGTTCTTCCCAGAGGCTAACTTTTGTCACTTTTCTCTTCATGTAATATTCTTAGCTCTGCATCGTAGATTATCACGGCTTGATTGCACAAAGTAAAACCAACCACGACAACAGTTTCTGTTTGATGTCAACAAGGTATATAAATCCTTTCATACGTATAGCTCGCTGTTACAATATACCACAATAAGCCCAGCCTATCCACTATTCAGCAATAGATAAACCGACTGCTTTCGTCCATATGCATTTAACCAATATCTCACACTAATGATGAAATACATACGCTGACGCCCAAACAACACACTGACCGCAATAGATCTATGGAGAAAAAAATTAATTTGGGAAAAATGTGCTGTCCGTGGGAGTCCTGTGACTTTGACTGCTAGTTGTGAATGTTGAACAAGTGCTAAGAATGCCTTAGCTGCACACCATATTTGTCAGAGGGTGGCATTGGCAGTTTGAAGACTGTTCTGTGGCGTCAAAATATGAATGTGAAAGTCTGTCGTAAAGATTTGTACAAGGCTATCTAAGAATACAGGTGCCGTCGCGGGTTAATGCTGCCTTTTTATGTTTAAGTCGGACAAATTGGAACTCCTACCTTGAATGTTTCAGTCACCAGAAGATTTTTTCCATCCATCTTTCGCAGGGCAAACCTGCAAAATCCCCCAGAATCAGTCTGGTTTCTATCTGAAAACGTGCACTATTCCATTATACATGGATCCTTTTTTTGTGGGTGTATCAAAGATATGATCGTCATGTCATGTATATTCACAAATATTCATAAATATCATTGCATTGATTTACTTTTTTAGCATTTTTCAGTATTGTTTACTTTCTGCCTAACAGATATTTATGATATCAAAGGAGTCGAGCAGGAGTTAGCTCGCACCCGTTACATGAAATCCAAACATGTGCCAAGCATTTTCCAGCCAGTGTTGCAATGCTCAAGATTAGCGCTTCTGAAAAATAGCCCGAAACGTTCTGCTGGATGATTGGAGGTGGGAATGTCCGGATTTCAGACACCTCTGAAACGCAGCATTAAACCCTTACGGCATGTACAGTCGCAGGTGTTGTGATCGAACCTGTAGGCTTTAAAGAAGATCACCGCGCCTCGCAGCATCATCTAGGTGACATATCCAAATGGCCAATGGAAATGGGGGAAGTCACTGACTGGACAAAACCCAGCAGCTAAAGATGTGACCTGTGAGAGAACAGAAAGAATCAACTCTTTCTCTGTGGTTTTGTCGCTGTGCTTTGTCTCTCTCGTCTCTCGTTGTCGTTATTATTGTTGACTTTGAGTTTGATCTCAACACATTGTACTTGAATTACCTCATTTTTGTGACCTCATGTTGCTTGTGAATTTAATTTTTGTTTTGTTTTTTCCCTTTTTTGTTTCATGTGTACATTTTAGTTCTTGTGTTTAGTTAGGGAGTGTGTATTGGAAAGATGCATTACGAGCACGATGAAGCAATGCGTACGTGGAAAAATTAAGTGCCACAGTGAAGAGATTTGTTTGTTTCTCTAATGTTGTGTATTTGTTTGTGCATTACTTGTTACCAAACTTGGTATTATTAACCCTGTTTGTTAAAGAGCCGAAAGATTTGATCATTTGTTATAAAAGCTACCTCTAAGTTGTTTTCCTTTTTTTTTTTGGTCCTTTTTTTTTTTGATTGTTTGGGGATTTTTTTTTTTTTTTTTTTTGGCAAAAGCACATTATTTGTTTTTTTTTTTTTTTTTTTGGTCCTTTTTTTGTTTGATTGTTTGGGGATTTTTTTTGTTTTGTTCTTTGGCAAAAGCACATTATTTGTTTGTGTTTTGCATTACTTTCTCATTGCAACTTCATCTCATGCTTTTTTTTTTTTCAAAAGTTGATTTATGATTGTGTTTTCAAGTAAAGTGTATATAAAAGGGTAAGAGATAAGAAAAAAAAAAGGTAGAGGTGGACAGGATGAGAAAAGTCATTCAATTGGGTGTGTGTTCTTCTCTTGTTGTCTCCCCCTGCACCTCCGACCACAGAAGAGCAGAGAAAAATGTAAGAAAAAGCAATTCTAAAGCCTTAAGTGACGAGTGAGAGGGGCGCGGCAGATGAGACGGAGTACTATTGCTTTTTAAGAGCATTTAAAAACAAGATGTTTAAACTTGAAAATATGTGAATAGAGTTGTAGTTTTGTAATGTGAAAAAAACAGAAGGTTCATCGAGAATGCGGAGCTGCACAGGTCAGGTCATATTATTTGCAGTGATGCAGAGTGCGCTGGACAATTGGAACTGCAAGTTGTAATCACAAAAGACAAACCAGAAGGTTAAAAATGGCGATTTTTTTCTTGGCAGACAAGCTCTCTCTTGAGATGTGGGTGTATTCCTGAACAAGAGCCAACAGAGGCAATTTGATATATAAAAATTGTGATATTTTTGTATTCAGTGTCAGTCTTTTTTCCATTTGTGGAGGGTTACAGCAGGGCACAAAAATTTGTATTTCTTTTATTTGTTTTTTTTAAACTGTCTGCTTTTTTTTCCCCTTTCTGGGTGTGAATCATTTTCGCCTTGCTCCTCTTTGATATTGTTGGACAAAAAAAACACAAAAAACAAAACGTGTGTGAACATATTGTAATAATAAGTGTTGCTTTCTGGATGTCAGTTGCATTGTAGGTGAAAGACTAAATCTATCCACCACAAATTTTACAAGTATGTGTGTGTGTGTAAGTGACAACGTTTAAAAGCGAAATTTGAAAAAAAAAAAAGATGATTTAAGAAAAAAAAAAGGAATAGCAGGGGAACTCTGCCCAACCGACCAATTAGTACTTGTCACTCAAGGTTTTTTTCAATCAAACTTGACTGTCGACATTTTGTTTTGTTTTTGTACTTGAAAAAAAAAAGAAGGGATGGCACGTCCTGTGGTGTCTTGCCATGTTATTCTCAAACACTGTGAGCTGAGGGTTTCCTTTTTTTCCCACCCTCTGATAATATCCACCCACTATAATATACGCAGTCAGCCTGAACACCACAATGCAAGACCATTTCAGTCATGTTTGTTCGTATCATCGTCCTCTGAATGTTTTGTACTTTTTCGTGCGGGTGAACAGGCGCGTAAGAGTGTGTTACTGTGTGCGAGTGTGTGCGAGTGTATTAGTGGGAAAACTGCACTAATCAGACCAGATACAAAATAAAATGATATTCTATGCCACTTTTTTTTTCTGTTGGGGAAAAAAATATATATATAGACATTGGCATCGGTATAGTTCTTCCCTCAGTGTTCCTCCAATGTTTCTGTACTATTTTTGTGCCTAAAAATGGAAATTGTTCGGCAAAAGTATCCACCTATATCTGCTTAGTTTCTGTATTTTCAGAAGAAAAGAAAATAATGTTGTCTGTGGCACCCTAGGGATGTCATGATGCTCAAAATATGAACCAATTTTCCTTTTCTTTTTTTTCTTTTAAACGGAGCAGGCTTTTCTTTTTTAAGGACTGCAAAAAAAAAAATCCTTCCTGCTATTGTAATAGCAACTGCATTTGGTTCTTTTCTTAAGCTGTTCTGTGATTGGCATCCAGAAGCATCTATTTAGCCGCACAAAAAAAAATGGAAAGAAAGAAAAAAAAACTATATTTAGAAAGGCTGCGGTGGCGAAATTTGCAAATACTTTTTTAGGACAAAATCTGCTTCACGCAATTGTTTTTTGTTTATTTTTTTTAGCAAATTAAGCCTGTCTGGTTGTCCATTTTGTCAGCAACAGGTTTGCTGATTGAGGACTTTGTCCTGTTGTATTGAAATTAGAAAAGAAAAAGAAAGAATGAAAGAAAGAAAGAAAGAAAAACCCCATTTGGGAAGGATGGCACTAGGATGTTACCTTCTGCTTTGCTTTTTTTTACATAAGTACTTCTCCTTTTCTACAAAATGCATTTATCAGGGGGTGTTAAATTCGTCTGAGAGGAATCATGGCATCCCTGGAGCTGGCACTCTGTGTTTTGGTGTGGTGTTTCTAGAACAAAGTAACCATTTCATGCAGTGTTGCAATGCATGTGCCATCGAGGTCTAGACTAAAACTGTTTGAGTAACAAAGCACCAAGACATTGTATTTTTTTATATTAGCACTGAGGACCAATTGCCCTGTCGGACCAAGCATAACAAAGCTTTTTATGTAACAAAGCTTTTCTCTCTGTCTTTCCAAGGCTTGTCTGTGCTTCTTCTCTCCTCCATTGTTGTGACAGCACAAGTGCCAGTCAAGTTGCTCTGTATTAAGAAAAATAGTGTTTTTATTATGATTTGAATTGTTATAGTTTTTGTCTACCTCAGCACCTAATCTTAGCCTAATCTTAGAAGGTGCCCAATTATTATTTTTTATTTTCTTTATTTTGTTTTTTCTTACTGTTGTCCGTTGTAAAAAAAAAAAAATTTCGTTTGAAATTTGCAGTAGAGCTTTGCAGAGGTCCTTTGTCTTTCCCAGCGACAACGTGCTATTTTTTTTTGTTTTCAACCCCTGTGGCCGTGCGTTTCTTGTTGAGCTGTGCCACCAATCTATAGCCACCGTCTGTTGATATAGCGGTTGTTCTTTTTCGTTTATTTCCATGTAGAATCAGACACATCTCTTTGTAACATTTCAGTGTTCTCTGATGGAGTGTGAAAAAAATAATAAAAAGGATAAATAAAAGATTTGATGCTGCAGGTCCTCTTCTCCATGTTGTCAATGAAGTCAATGTTGTGCCTTTGATAGTGAAAATATAAGAAAAAGTCTTTTTTTGTTTGTTTTTCAAATCCTACTAACAGTAGATTGTTTATTGTAGTGGATTTTTTTGTATTTTTATTTATGGGTCTCATAATAAAAATCAAATCATGATGTTCAGTTGTATACTTTCAATCTGCAGTTAGAAAAAAAAATAAAAAAAATTTACTTCATGTTGTCTCTCAGCACTCTGTCTGGCTCTGAATTTGCCTCCTAAAAATAATAACATTAGATAATAGAACGGCATAGAAAAAAAATTTTTTATACATATGTCTGTGTCCGTATGACACCATGCCACTCTGGAATTTCTTTTTTATTAATTCAAGCATAAAATCTCATTCAAGCTGCACTGAAACTGTTTCAGTGGCACCAGTATTTTCCTTTTTCATTTTACTTGTTTACACAGGAATATTTTTTTCACATTGTCAAAGAAAGAGAGACCAAAATTATATAAACAGGACATTATACCAAGACACAAATGTATTTTTAGTCATATGAATATTCCGATAAAGAAAAGATTTAGTGCATTCTTCAAGGAATGGGATCATATTTTATCTCCATCACCTCATAACGTTCTTTCCTGAAATGCTGCGGTCAAATTTCCACGCTTTTTCTTAATCTGTAATACTGAAAATCCTGCTCCACCTCTTCACATGACACTTTCACGGGGTGAAGCAGAGCATTTCTCAAGCTGAACATGGTGACGGCGCATCATGCCTCAGACTTACTGGTCGAGCTAAACGGCTTCAAAACGTGCATGTCTTGTAACTGTATTGGTTCCTGGTTCAAATGCCTGGTTCACTTAGACCTTTCTTTGTGGAGTTTGCAGGTCCTCTTCGTGTCTGTGTGGGTTCCCTCCAGGTACTTTTTCCCCACTGTCCAGATGCATGCCCATTAGGTCAACTGAAGACTCTAAATTGGCCTTTGGGGGGGAATTTTGGCGTGTGTGGTTGTTTATCTATGTATGGCCATGTGGACTGTCCAGGGTGTCTCCTGCCTCTTGCTCAATGGCAGCTGGGATGGGCTCCAGCGTCCCTGCGAACCCTGCAAAAATGTAGCATAGATAATGGATGAAGGAATTTGAATTACTTTTTTTTTTTAAATAAAAATAAATAAATAATAAACAAAAAATAAATAATAAATTAATTAAATTAATTAAATTAAATAAATAAATAAATAAATAAATAAATAAATAAATAAATAGATAAATAAATAAATAATAATAAAATAAAATAATTTAAAAAAATGAAAAAAATAAATAAATAAAAAAAGAATTTGAATTTATTGATGTCGCTATTGTATAAAATGTCCAAAGATGACATAAATATATAGGGAAGCAAAGCAGCACTATCAGAGCTTTTAAGGAGGTTGAAAGGAGCAAAGCAGCATTTTGACCTAACAGTTTTATCATTTTAGTATCTGAAACCACAGCCATGGGGGACAAAATAGCACTACCAGTGTAATGACTGCAATTTACCAAGAATATATCTATCTACAATATACAATGGCCGTCAAAAATGTACTAACCTTTTTTTATGCTAACCAGAAATGCATTTCTTTTTATTGTGTGACTTGCAAGGAAAGCAGATCCTCAACACATTAACAGGGCAGCTGAAATAACCCACATGGATTTATGTCAATCTACTAAATTCCGCAAATCCCTCTCATATTTCTGTTGTGTCTGGTTCTGCTCTGCCCGTCCTTTTCATTCGCAGTGTGTTAACAGTAAGCTGCAGCGCTTCATGCCTGGCTGCCTTTTGTCTGTTCTACCTCTTAAACCATCGAGGTCGTAAATGCATCATTAGACATGCAGATCACATCTGCACCTTTTATTGTCACATCACACAGGACCGGCGTAAGACGGGAAGCAAAGCAGGACACAAACCGTGCAGATTTAGCATGAACGCGGATAAATTGCTAGATTTAAATGTGTGTTTACTGGCAGATATTTGCTCGTATATCCTGCTAGAAGTCATGCCCAGGACCATTCTTTGTTATGGTGGAGTGGAGGACACCTCTGATCAAACATACCCTGTTGTGTAGTCAGTGTCTGCCCTTCAGAATTCTGAAATAATCATATTTGCCCTTTCGCAATTTGGACTTCCATCTTCCATTAGGCCGATCACACAGTAACCTACATAGAAGTAATACATCTTATTTCCTCCCAAACTTTGTAGACTGCATGAACCAGTGGTCCAGTGAAAATTGTACATAGATAAGAAGAACAATGACCTCCAGTTTTCTTTCACGTTAATATTTTTTACCTGTTTCATAGTAAGACTGAGAATCTAAGAATGTGCTGCATTGAGAATCCTACCAGACGCATACAAAATGCTCTTCAAATAGAGGTTTATATACTTCATCTAAGCTCCTGACACCCAAGCTTTTATTTAGTGTGCATTTTGCTTTTTGTAAGGTATAGGGAATTAGTAGGACCTAACAAGTTTGAAAACTAGGCTCTGTCATGGTAAAGGAGGTAGTTTTTCCTCTGGTAGTTTTTCCTTTGCATAGAAAATCAATGTGTATTTATATGAATAGTTTCTCCACAATTTGGTTCTAAAGTTCCAAATTACTAAATTGTAAATTATATTTACAAACTGAAGACATGATTGGTTGAAAGCATATAAAACCCTTTTTATTTTAGAAATTTACACTTGAGAAGTAAAAGATAAAGTATCGAGATAAAGAGAGAAAAAAATGTAATGTCTTCATATGAGGACGCAGAGTTTGAATGCAATCTTTTCATGTTTTTAAATAAGGGTATATCATATGTGACAGTTGAACTTTAATGGTATTATTCCATTTACAGCAAGAGTAAGAATGGTTAAAAGTTTCACCTAACTGTTTTTTAGCGATAAATTCTTTGTTTTTTTTTAAACGTGTCCAGACATTGCACCAAAGCTGGACTGTCCATCAGCAGAGACAGATTTTCAACAATGTATTTAAGGAAGGAAAAAATATCTCTGACTGAGCCCCGACGGTAAATCTTTAGCCAGCTTTGTGTTGCTGCTGCATGTTTGTGTGTGAAACCATATGAATGCTGCATGACATAGAAGTGTCTCCAGGATGCACCGGTATTGCTCCAATATTTGCTCATCTCTTTGACACACACACACAATCAGATCTTAAATTCAGTGCATTTGAAACTAATGAGGCAACTCTTTGCTTCCCCTGTTTGCTCATGCAGAACACTGTGGTATTACACCAGAAACACATCACAGCTCTGCAGGGTTGTTGTTTTTTTCAGATTTTGACGGAAACAAAAACAGGAAATGTGAAGACGGAGTCATTGTGAATGGTGTTTGTTCGGCCTGTTGCTTAGATGTGACTTTGATCTTATTTGTGGACATCAGGAAGGAAAGGCCAGGGGTTGGTGAATGGTTTGTCCGGGTAGTAATATGAGCTGAGAGGGGACTTGTAAGTTATCAGTATTGATCCTTGACATTCACAAGCCTGAACAGTGGATTCTTCACATTGCCCACTGAAGAAACAAGAAGGATGATCCTGAAGATGATCATTTTGGGGTTTATATGTAGATTTAGACAACAGCTTGACATTTATATTTTCAAATCAGACCCTGTTACCCATCGCATTTAACCCTTTAACATCTACACTAAATATTTCTTTGCAATATTTTCATTTCTTTGCAGCAATAACAACCAGACTAAATGTCTTTTTAATGGATAGTTGGGGTGACAAAATTGTCAAATTTGAAAAAGAAATGCCATTGCTCATGCTTTATTTAGGCATGTCATACCTAAATTTAATTTCAGAGCTAGTTAAGGTGCATCTGGTGACCAAGTATAATAAAAAAAAAAGTGCTTTATGAAATGGTTAGGCAGGATGTTAAAGGATTAAGTATGTAGAAATGGGCAAAAATGTGATAGACCAAATTCCTGAACATCAAATTTTGAGTTTTGTATTGTATGTGGCACATTTGTGATTTTGAGGGAGGTTGATGTTGTTGTACATACTGCCATCCTCTGGCTGCTGTGGTTAACTACAGGCTTGGCAGGCACTAAGTAGGCTTATTTGTGTAAAAAGGTGTAAAAAATACCTGTATTGTATGATGAAATTGCTACCCATATTCTGGATTATTTACAGTTTCATATAATTTTTTTTCTTGCATGTCTATGTTTAGTTTTTCTGTGTGTTTTTCCTCTTGTATTTTTATCCAGGAATGGCCCTTTTTCTTCATTACGCTACACTCACAGGACTATGAATGGGATTTGTGCTGCTTTTAGCTGATAAATGATCTTTTGATCTAAATATAGTAGCCATTAAACCCAAACTTATGAAACATCATGTGAGAAACCAAACCAAAATTTTTGCATACATTTCATCTTGACAAAGCCCACTAAGACAAATACGTATATGAAAAACATATCAGTAGACCAAATTGAACAACAAACAATCAAAATGGAGTCCTTTTACACTTTATTATCTCATGTAAAACTTTGAAACAGATCAACATTGACCACATCTATTGACTTGAAAAGGCTAGATGACCATTTAAAGTTTTTGATTGATAATTTGTTAGTTTTTCTGTTGGTTATCATTTAAACATGTTATGTTTGTTAGTCATATTGTGTTCATACATCATGGACAGTGTTTTCTCATCATTATTTTTACTGCCATAACAACACAGCTAAATCAAATGAATGCCACTGAAAAACCTAATGCCCAAAACTAAACTTTTACTGTCTGCATATTGGGTAGACATGAGTTATGTTTATGGAGACACATTACAGGTGAAAACGTATCATTTTTACATAATGAATACCTTGATGACACATTTTGATTACTTTGATTGAATTATATATATTTACATACTGACATGTGACAAAGATCTTGTGTACAATTCAGGTAAAAACTGAAATTATAACAAATTTGTAAAATCACATATGAAAGAAAAAATACATCAGAACCAAGAAGTCATATTTTTTATATGAAAAATGGAAAAAATGCTAACAAAATGTGAAATATGCCAACGTAAACTTTACATGAACGTATCAAAATATGCAAATCAAAGCCAATTTTTTTCACGATGTAGATGGTAACAAAATAATTGTTAATGGAAACTGTGGGAAAGTATTAATGATTTTTTCTTTCATAATATATTGTCTTCAAATATAGAAGTAAATCTTATAATTTTGTTTGAACAGAACAGATGAAAATAAAATAAATGAAGACTTCTTATGAAATATAGTAAGAGTAATTTTTTTATACATACAATGAATCGTGAATTCCCAACTTGTCACCTTTCATGACTTTCTATAACTGTTCAGTTTATTTCAAGATTAAAACGATTACCACTCCTTGAAAAAAAAGGTTATTCTACAGCTTAGTGTACACCTCCCGAAAATTCTCATTTACGTCACTGACATTCCACCTCCACTGAAACATCTTTCTTTGTCAGTTCATGAATCGTTCCATTCTGAAAAATAATTTAAAGTTACTCTGATGTTTCACACTGTTGTTGTAACAAGTTTGATTAGTTTTTACATATTACATCTCCAAACTCACTGTACGATAAAAGTTCATTTCTTTGACTGATTTAACCTGCAATTAAACGTTTGTTTGGCATTTTATCTTATTAAGGATCATTAGTTGGAGCCCTGTGATTGTGTATACCTTGTCACACAACACTTTGCAATCCATCATGGTTGATACAGAAACAGTTTGGAGCTGAAGTATCAACAAAAAATCCTTCATTCGTTCCTGTTAAAAACATTAACAGTAAGTTCGGCCATCAAACTATCTGATCAAGATTTTTGTGCGGGTGTGAAAAACCAATTGTTCCCCTAACATATATATGCGTATATGCTTATTACATGGGAACTATTTTGTTGTTAAATAACTACGTGAGGGCCTCCCTCTGTCATGTGAACTAGGTTGGGCATGGAGCCACTAACCCTCTTTATCCTTATCCAGAACTTAATTTCAGGTTGAGTTTCCACAATAGCGCGTTGGCAAAAACTCAGGCCACCTGCCAAACTGACCACAAGGTGCCCAACGTGATGCTGTAAGCCACGATGGCCACCAGGTAGACCCTGAAGAGCAGGACGTCCAGTACGTAGCCAACCTGCAGCCACTCCTTGGCAACTTCCCGACACCTGTCGCGCTTCTCCAGGAAGGTGCGTATGGCCGTCACCTCCTGCAGGATGTTGTCCATGACCGGTGGCGGGGCGCTCTCCCTGGACGGGGGCAGGCGCAGTCCGAGCATCCCGCCCTCTCTGTCCGGCTGGCTGAGCCTTTGGCCCATCTCACAGGTGTGGTGGAGGGTGCACTGGGCTGAAGGACGGGTTGGACATTGTAGTTTGTCATCAGGGTACAACAACATCTACCACAGGAGGCTTAACCCTATAATGCCAAATGTGTTATATTTGATTCATAAGTCTGAAGTCTTTTGGATCTGAGACTTTTTGCATCATTCAATGGTAAAAGCTTTGCTCAAACCCCTGTTGTACACATTCAGATATACCTGATAACAGCCAGCAGAAGACTACACGAAAATAGATTTTTGACTTATTGCACGCTAATTTGATCAAAATAATTTCCGTTTTTTTTTTCATATGTTGTTGAGGGGCCAAAGAAAGACTTCAGACTAAAATAAATCCAATATTCTAATATATTTTTCTTGGATCAGACTTTAAAGGGTTAAAAGTTAAACCTTTTAGACAATTGGTTGGTTTTCTCTGTGTCCTCAACGTTTCAGCGTTATTTTAAAGCACAACAGCTAGAAAACACTGTAAGCCCTGAACATGGTTCAGAACTACAACTCCAGAATTAGCAGTAAAGGCACTCCAGCAGAACAGATTAGCCCTGAATATTCCCCCATCCCGTGAACCATATGGCCAGACTATTTCATCTTACCACTCCCATAATTGTTGTCCTTGTAGTGCTCCAGGTCAGAGGCTTGGGAGGACAGCGTGGGGCAGAGGCGATGCTTTTTGTGGATGCAGAAGAGGACGGGGGCTCTCTCCAGCACCAGGTACTTCACCCAGTGGGGCACGGGGGGCTGGAGGTCCTGCTTGTGGACCAGACGCACAATCAGGACGGTTTCCGTCAGGCTGATCACCAAGAGAGCCATGCAGACCACAAAGTACACACCTGGAACACACGGGGAGGACACAAAGTGGGTTTGATTGATGTTTTTAAATCTCGTAGAGTGGTTTAAAAAAAGAAAAAAAAGCCGTTCATTCTTGGCTAATGTACAGATTCAGATCTTGTTTTTTCCTCATCAATCTGTTGGCTCTCACTTCGGTTCTGTTTTGTTTTGTTTTTTTCACACCCTGACATCATATTTTACCAACCTCTTCTTTCATTTAGACATCCATTTAAATTCAAATGAGCATTAAAAGAGCCCAGCCACCTATCAGCGGGGTTCCTATGGCGGTCGCAGGCAAAGTGTCAGACACAATGATGAGGAAGACAGAGTAGCCCAGCAGCAAAGTGATCTTAAAGGAAACCCGCTCTCCGCTGTCTGGTGGCAGGTAGAAACCAACGACGTCCATCACCATCAGGAAGATGCTGGGCAGCAGCAGATTCACAGTGTAGAACAACGGCCGACGACGGATCACCACCTGTCACATGAGACGAACGAAATCGGCATATCTCATTTCAGAAACGGGAACATTGCATTTTCTTTACTTATAAATGGGGCAATAGGGGGAAGAAAAACTAATGAAAACATTGTACGCATATCTATAAATGCAAAAGCATAAACCAACAGTTTGTTCATCAAGCAGTCGCAGAAGTTTTCTGACAGGGTTAAAGGTCAACTCTTTTCAATTATCAATGATCGAAAAGCAAGTTGAGTACACACAAGGAGGCAAACAAAAAAAAGGTAAATATGAAAATATGTATATTCCCGACACTGATAATCATATCAGGCAAATTAAAGAGGTTTTACACATTAAGATTATGATGTGTATATTATAATATGATTACAATATAAGCGGGGAACAAAAAAGTCAAGGTTGTGAGTGTGAGCAGAACTAAAAATCTTTCATTTTAATTATTAGAGGTAAGTAAATTAAAGATAAAAATGGGGGGCATTCAACAGAGTGAAGGATCTTTCAGAAATAAAGCTGTGCATATTAAGATAAAACTGTACCAAACAGTAAAGAATATTAGACTCTATGGTTATAAAAATCTGTAAAAATGTAACTGAATCTCAGTATTCATAAAATGAGGCTACTAACAATGATGACTGGCTTCCAGTTACTTCTGGAGCATTTTATTTGAAAGCTAGAAGCGATGATTCTGGTGAGATACATCCTTCAGATACTAGTTAATGAAAACATCATAATCTGAATTAATTAAGAAACTAATTACAAGTGAACAATTGGATATTTCATTAATGATTACAAGATTCTTCCCATAATAATTGCTAAAGAAGGGATTTAACACAGTAAATTATCTGTCATAAAATGTAAAAGAGCACATCATACTGAATAAACTCAATAGTTTCTCAGTAATTTACTATTACCTTTCAGTACTTTGTACTTTTACTTGAAAGTAAAGATTAGAAAAGTTAGAATGTACCATTTTGAGATATTAACATTTTAGTTCTAACATTTTAACATTCTAAATTATTTTAAAATAATTTGGAGTTCAATGTATTTTGTCTTCATTTTGTCATAGCTTATTTTAGAGAAAGGCCTCATACGCTACATTCCACACACTCACATGGAACTTCATCTCGGCATAATAGTCGTCATTGTCCACGCTGAAGATCTTGTAGTTGGACAGTATGTGGAGTAGCTCCCACTCCCCTTGGTTCATGAAGACACTCTTGTCGTCCCTGAGCTTTTCGGGGCTTCGCATCAGGGTGATGTTGATGTCATCAACTGCGGATCGAAGCCAATATCAGAAGCAGCATGGAAACAGCCACGACAACAAGTTAGCCTTCGAGAAGCGCCAGGATCTCTGAGCACAAATCACTGCAGGAGGGAGCCGATGGGGGCATCTGACAAACAGCTCCTCTGCTCCGGACTCAGGAATGACTTGTTCTCTTTTAAAGGTAGTATTGATCAATGCTGTCATGTAGTCAATTGATTAATACTAGCTGATAAAGCATTATCTTTAGAAGAATCGATGGCTTGATCAGTTCATAACAAAAAACTGGTGCTTATTTTTTGTTATTGTCATTCGGAATATTTAATATATTTTCAGCATTTTAGAAACCTCTTACTAGTATGGAGCCAGCTCTGGAAAGTGAGGCTGCATTTCTGGACATCGAATGGGAAGTTGTAGATGTTGAGAGTGCAGGCCGTAACAACCTGGATGGGCTTGTAGTTTTGCACCAGCCCTTCATGAGTAACGTACACGTAGGGAATGTCTGGAGACTTCCCCACATCCACACTGCAGGTTTGAGACAGAAATGACGACGACCGATGAGACAGAGGTGCTGTGCGCTCTTCAAATGGGGGGACAAATTAGCAAATCCAGAGTGAAAACACTTACAACTCATTGATGAGGATGTCGGGAACCCACACGTTCGCTGTGGGCATGGAAACCTGTTTGACCTCATCAAAATCCTCTGGATTCCACACCAGGAATTCATCTGTCCACGACTACAATGTTCAACAATGTGATAATATAAACATGCATGCGGAATTTTTACTACTAAGGTTTCAGGGGGGGACGATCTAATTTGCTTTAAGGGAAAATAATAGCAAGTTATTTGAAAATGTAATCGGGTTAAAGTAGTCAATAAGCAAGTAATGGTGTAAAATATTTTACCTGTCTGTACCACACGTATGTTGTTAAAACCTGGTTCTTCTCGTCCTTTCGCAGAACATGAAAATGAACAAAAAGTAGTTTAACCGACAAGAACCAGGTTAATGTGATCATCCGTTTGAATCAGGATTTTTGCAAAAACATACAAACATATATAATTTGTGCTTCGTAACTGTGAAACAAGAATTCGGAACATACTCTGCAAACATGAGCAGCACTTTTTTTAAACATCCTGTGAGTGTCTGAGACCCTGACTCACCACGTTAAGGATAGAGTAAACCATGAGGTCTATGGCCACTATAGTGGACGTCCTCCAGTCTTTGACTGGTCTCACTCCTTTCTTGTAGCCTGCGCTCAAAAACTCTGAAAGCCGCACCAGGGTTGCGTTCGCAAACCTGCCAGTGCTGCTACCCAGTTTTTTCACTGAAAGTGAGAAAAACATCATCTATTAGGGTGAACCTAAAGATCAAATTCTTATATAAAATGAAATTTTTTTCAAAACAGGGATTAATAATTTATGGCCGATCCTAAAATGCCTCATTATATTTCTAAATCAAGTGAGCAGATTGTTAAGTCTGAAATAAATATACATTTTATAAAGCTTTTTTTTAAAACATTCTAATTCAAATTCTGTTATTTGTTATATTCTGTTATTCTGTCACATCTGTTTTATCATGAATGAATTAATCATATAATGACCACAGCTGTTCTAATACTAATTCAACAGATGCAAATGCTTAACCTTTGGCTAGATGATAAACAAACATAAGTAAACTAATTGCTGTTTCACAGTAGTGTTTTAATCAAATTCATTCTTTTGCATCCTTTTTTGGAGTATTTTCATAAGGTTGGAAATTAGGTAATTTTGCCTGAACACTAATTCAGTCTGAAAAATACCATTTAATCCCATTCTGATTTACCTCCAAAGTTGAGGACAAAGACATTATTTCTAGATATTTTTAAATTTCTTTAATGTAAAACTGCAACAAAAAAAGGCTAAAGTGAATCCTCATACCAGCCGTCAATGAAATTCTAGAATATTACTCAGTAAGTAAGTCAGGCGTTGGCGTACCTGAGCAGGCTCTGGATGTTCCATGAATCAGGAGGCAGAGGAGCGCTGTCCAGGCTGATGAGATTCTCATGTTGTTAGCTGACCTGAGTTTCGTCCTGCCGCTGTGAAAGTCTGCCCGCTGCTCTGATGAAAGGCCTCGGGACGCCCGCCACCTCTAACCTCCATATCCATCCGCTGCACGCATCACTTCCCTTACATCCAGCTACCAAAACCTTGTTTGTGGCGGCTGACTCATGGGGATGGATGAATCTGCTCGGATGCCACTCCTCTGAGTTGAGTAAGGCTGCACCCCGCTGAGATTAATGAAGCGGAAGGACTTCAGAAATCCAAGTCAGGATGCTGTGACCAGATCACATATCATATCAGTTAAATTATTTGATAGTAAAACCACAACACTAAAGAGGATATTGGTGTTTTAATCAGATTTAGGGGCTAGTGATGTATCTCTCTATATATATATATATAAAAATACATACAGTGGGGGAAATAAGTATTTGACCCCTTGCTGATTTTGCAGGTTTGCCCACTTACAAAAAATGCTTATTTTTCCTCATCAGATGGTTATCGATTTTTATAAATTCATATGATGTGATTTTCTGGAATTTTCTTTGGGATTCTGTCTTTCACTGTTAGAATGTACATATGATTAAAGTTATAGATTGTTGCATTCTTTGTAAGTGGGCAAACCTGCAAAATCAGCAAGGGGTCAAATACTTATTTCCCCCACTGTATATATAGCCTATGTTTAACCAGTTTCAGATGGTGAAGTTGAAGAATTGAAGGGTCCCACACCCTAAATTGTGTTGTACTCTTCATCAATAGCCCTAATATATGAACTCAGTTCAATTTTTTGTTTGATTTCAGTTTTAATTCAGGATGTGGCTCAGTTGTTTTGTTTTTTCAGGATTTTTTATTGATACAAAGGGAATGGTTGTTTTGTTCATATCAGGGAAAATAAATGTTTCACTATATGTTGGATTTTGACTAAATAAATATAGATCTGATAAACTGAAATATATCTATCGTAAGGCTGGAAGGCTGATCCTAGCCATTAAAGGTGAAAATAGGCCTATGTGAGGAAATTAAAGTGCTCAGTTTGCATGCTTGGCTTGTCTTTTCTTACGCATTTTGTTAAATTATTTCATTTTTATCCACTTGATATAGCTGAATGTTTGATTCAGAGGATAACTTTCTGCAGCCTCAACAGTAAAAAAAACATCACACTGTGGTCTTTATTTATGTTCTTTTTTTTACGACCAGAGAACAATAGACCTTTGATGGTATTAAAGTGACTGCATGTGAAAAGGAAAACAGCTTACATGACAAATTTAGCCCCGACTGTCTTCCCGATTTTATATCTTTACGACATGGTATGTTTAATTTTTAGCTCACTGGAAAAAAAATCTACAGCTACCCTGTGTAATGGGGTTTTATTTGCCATTTTATTTTTACATTTGCATGTTACCAGAGCAACACGAAAATTGTCATCCATGTGGTATGCAGTGACATGATAAAAAGAAGGCATTCAAGATCCAACCATTATGGTCTTGACCTCATCACTTGCAGGTCCACATGGTTGAAGCACAGGAATTAACTACTTCATTCACCCATCCCGTTTTATCCATGTAAGAACTTTGTGGATTAAAATATGATAGACTAGATAAAGACATCTAATCTAATGTGAAAGCCTCATGATGTGTGAATGCTTGTTTTCAAATATAAGTTGCAAGATAATAACTCGTGAAACCTTTAATCGTGGATTTTCACAATCAAAAACCAAGAGGAGTTTTCTTTAATTGTCTTCTACCGTTTTATTGCCATCACAAAATAAGCACATGGTTATTGTTGGCATTATTTTGATTCCAGCTTTTATAACCATTTAATTTCTAAAGATGAACACGCGATGCTTGAACTTAACAGCTGCTACAATAACAACCTAATGGAAACAGTAAATGATCAGGCACTCTTCAGTTCTGTTGCATAATATAATGTAACCGGATCTACTGGAAAGAACGTTGCAACTATCAAAATAACATTAACATGGATTGTTCCACCAGCAGGTTTTCTATGATGCACTCTTGATAATCATATCACAACTATTATGAGGCCAACAGGGAGCATAGCCACAGCAGCTGAGCTCTGAATGGAGTTTGCTGATCTAGTTTGTGGCAGACGGATGGAGATTAAAGTAAGAATATGATATCGTAACACCACACTGGCATTTAGGGTTTCTCTCCAGAGAGTTGCCGTATTGTACAATATCTCTGCTTAAATCTTCACAGTCGGGAAACATAATAACAAACAAGATACAATAATGTCTTTGCCAGAGCGGTGACGTTACTGAAAAGTGACAGGGGCGCTGGAGGATATGCAAACAGAATATTCAGAAAACAGCACTAGTTTTAAACCACTGATATTTACAGCGTTTCATATTAGTCGTTGAGCATAAATAAATGTAATCTCACAAACTGTCAGTTGTTAAGGTTTTTACTATACAAATATCCACTTTTTCATCCAAATGAAGCTTCCGTATTTGCCAGAGCTTAGTGTACTAATGTTTTTGACACTGTTACACTTACATATTTGAACAACTGCCAATGATTTTGGTGGAAACTTTGTCATAGGTTAATGCAAAAATTTGCACTGCATTGTATTCAGCTATAGTTCAGGTGATAAGAACTCCAAAATAATTCTCTGGAAATATTGTAGAAATAAACAAACTCTTAAATATGCATTTGCATATGCAATGCGATATGCATTTTGGAAACAGTCTTTTAAAGCAATGAAATTATGAATCCGGCAGAATTTCATGGTTGGAGTGCTTCAACTATTAAATTTTTTGTTTAAAACATGTGACACTTGCCCAACAAAAGGATTTAAGTCATTATTCTTACGACATCTGACATCTTTCAGTTTATGTTTTGATTAAACTTTATTTTTGGAATGCTTACATAACAGAAATGTTTCTACTTGCATTCATACTGTATCATTTCAACAAAAGAGCTAAAACTGCAATGAGATAAGACATTTAAAGAAATTTGGTTGACAGCAATAGCAAAGCAGGATATATAACAGACTCCATTATCACCCACATAGACATCTGTAGCATTCAAAACCTTTCTTTCTCATTTGTTGTCAAGTAAAGCTCCAGCTGGCCCAGAGTAGCAGCAGGGTGCTTGTGTACAAAGCCAGAACCAGAAGGTAAAGGCGAAACAGCAAACGGTCAAGACGCAAGCAGAGGGCCAACCACTCGGCCTGAGCCGAGGTCTCGCTGTCGTCCTGGGAAAACGCCACGCGGAGGGAAACCAGCTCCTGGAGGAGCCAATCCAGTCCAGAGGGGGCATCCTCGAGCTCAGTCAGTGACAGAAGATCCTCCTCAAGTGAGTGTTCAAGATCATAATCTTTAACAAAAAAAAGTAGAGAATCTGGTTTAAAATTAGATGATGAATGATGATTTTTTTCTTCTGCTTTTTCCATAATTATGAGACAGAAAAATTCCACTCATACAGTTTCTAAACATTTTTTCAAAAAGATTCCTCAACAAGTTTTGTGCACCAATATCTGATTTTTTTTTATCCTACACTTTCCAAAAGGTACCTTACCTTTACCTAATTTTGGTGTTATTTTTCCCCCATATCTCAGAAAGAAACAAGAAAATAAAGTTCCCTAATGCCCTGCTGGCTTTGGATATCAGTTCAGGTTCTTGCAGAGTACCTTCAGCTGTGTTGAGGGTTTTTATGGATGTTAGAGCACTCTCTGTGAAGCTGTGACCAGCTGAACCGTACTTGTCCAGCAGACAGGCAGACAACGACATCTGCTTGACCTCTTTTTCACTGTGGTGGAGCAGCTTCACCACCAAGATTGACTTGCTGAGGCTGAGCATCAGCATTGCCATGCACACCACAAAGAACACACCTGCGAGGAGATTGAACCAGAAAAAAATCATTATTTGCTGAATAGCATGATCATTTCAAGTATAAACGTAAGGCATCATTTCATTGCTAGAGCCTCTATAATAACAATTCAAGCAGTTAACATTAGGGCGCAATTTCTGACTACAATTATCGCTTTCACCATCTTCTGTTACAATAGGCTTTCATATTGTATTATATTATATTATATTATATTATATTATATTATAATATATTTCATTATATTATTAGGATTATTTTATATTATAAGATAATACAGTTTTTTTCTAAAATGTTTACGTTTTTTCTGAAAATAACAAATTCACCGTTTGTGGAATTATATACATTTATTTTCAATTACTAAAACAAAAGTGTAAAAACAGACATTGTTGAATACAACATTGGGGTTCATGTCGAACGAAAGAGAAGTCATGGAAACTTTCCCATCTCAGGACTGTGCCAACAACTTCACAGACCTGGGTTTTGGCTCAAAAGCCTTTGACACGCAGCGTAGTCTGGGTCTCAATTGGGACCTTACGTTAGACACCTTTACCTTTAAGATTTCTAAGAAGAAGCATTTCACTCGTTGAGGCATCAATGGCATCTTTGCTCCTCTGGAATTTGTTTCCCAGACACCATACAACGAAAGGCATTCCTGCGACAGCTTACACAACATAATGGTGACAGGGATTCCCCTCTTCTTTGACAAATGGAGAGATGGATGGTATGTATTTCGAATGGCGATCCTCATTGAAAGATTATGGTAGTCTCCAGATTCCAAGACCCTACACAGAGGTCTCTCCCATTAAGGTGTCACATAGAGAGCTAATTGTTTTTGGTGATGCATCACAAAGGCAATTGCAGCCATCGAATTTGACAGACAGGAATGCAGCTACCCATGTGGGATTTTACATGGGAAAGGCTAACCTTTTCTGAGCATACAGTCCCAAGACTTAAGCTTTGTGCTGGCGATGGAGCTTGCTGAGCTCATCTTTTTGAGGACCAAGATGAGATGGGATGATACTGTCTTTTTCAGTGAGAATAAGGTAGGCTTAGGCTTCATCAGTAATGGTTCCAGAAACCTTTACGTCTATGTCAGCAATCAGGTCCTGATGAGAAGGAGCTGCAGTATGTACCAACAGTTGAAACCCCAGCCGAGGGGTTCACTGTCACTGTCACTGCTGCTCATCTTTGAGGTACCAGCTAACTTTGCGGACAAGCATTCCAGATATACATCTAGCTAATTATCATGAGCATTGCAGCTTCAAGCGGGTGAACATTTCTTTGGATGTAGTAATCCACCTTTAGGTCTCAGCAATGAAAGCAATAATGTTGAGCAAACTCGGGCCTCAGCGCTTCTCCAAGTTTTCGAGCTGGAAGTAATTGATTCACGCCATTGCTCGCCTCAGTCATATCCTTCGTATCTTCCCAGAAGACTTCTGCAACTCAATTGCAAAAGCTGCAAAGGCTGGCTTCACTGCCACACAACGATTTCAGCCGAGGATCTCACAAGAGCTAAGGCATTTGTGCAGGTCAAGAAAAGATGTATGCCCAAGAATATGCCCGTCCAAGAACAAGGAAAAAGCTCCCTAAAGCCAGTCATCTTAAGATCTTAGGTCCCTTCATTCATGTGGACGGCCTGTGTGGGGTTCTACCAGAGAAGCAGATCAACAGCCATATTTTTTAAAAACTGATCCTTGTCCCCGCCAAGCACATTGTAGTGACCCTTCTGGTCAGTCATTACCATCAGAAAATACAACACCAGGAACGGTTGTTCCCCATAAGGTGCCTTATGAGCTGCTGATTTCGGGCCTGTTGGTGGAAAAAGGTGAGTAAATAGTGTTGCCGCAAACCTCTGACCCGAAAAATGGTTGATCTTTGGTCGGATGGTGTTTCAATTCAACCTCCATTGAATAGCATTGGCCTGGATTTTTTTGGCCCATTGACTTTGTCCTCATGCCAAGCAACAGGTGGGTTTGCTCGGAGCAAATGGTGGGTGGTTATTCACCTGTATGAGCGTAAGAGGCATTCACATACAGCTCATCAATTGTCTTGACTTGTCGAACCTCGTCAATGTCCTCACGCATTTTTTGGCCATGGATCAAGGCATTACAAGTGGATGTGCAACACTGCCCTGTGCCTCTTGCATCGGATGTTCATGGGAGAGAATGACTGGCATAGCATAGAAAATATTAGTATCAATGTCCCTGCAGCTTGAAACATCTAAGCTGACTCAGAAACCACCCTCTACAAATGGTAGATAGATAATGGTGGAAGTGGTCTCGTACCAGTGTCAACTGATCCATATAAGCCATTCTTCTGACCAGCAACCCTCTTCTCGAAAAAAATGAGTCCATCTTCTGCTCAAGTTGGTGACTGGGCCAAAGTTCTTCAAAAATGCCAGCGGTTCTAAGTCCAGCATCTAGCTCAAACCTTCTGGGACAAGTACAAAAACAATACCTTTCCTTTCCTCACTTCATAGCTGACATGAGGAAAGGTGTTGTTCGCTTTTAGCTTGGAAGCATTGTGCTTGTCAAAGGCGATCAACAGAAAAGAAACTTGTGGAATCTGGAGTTGATCACTAATTCTTTCCCGGCAAAAGTGGCAGAGTATGCAAGTTGGAGGTAAAAGTTTACAAGAAAGAGGGGACAGAAGTATGTCTGAACTGGTGAACTATCCAGGGTGTACCCCACCTCTTGCCCATTGTCTGGGATAAGCTGCAGCCCCCATGACCCTACCAGGAACAAGTAGTATGCATAATGGATGGTTGGAAATATTTCTGCGGCCTGATACTGAGACAGTCTTGCTCCCAGCTCCTGACAATGAATCATGAGAGCCTCTTTGAAGTGTTGACAGTGGCAGTTTAATCCCACCAGGTGGGGAGTGTTCTGCTATCATATTTTAGTTAGTATGTTTTGGTTTATTCTGCATTTGTTATATTAGTTAGCAATGGCCCTTTAAGAGAAACAGGAAGTGGAGGCTCATGAAGAATTGTTGGTATATAACCTTATCATTTGTTCTTTCGTTGAATTATAGTAAATTATCATTTTTTTAAAGAGTTGTTTTTTAATTTGAGGACAATATTAGTTCTGTGGATGTTTTTACATAAATTGTCTTCTTGGCTAATTATCTGATTAATTCACAGTTTATACTATGTTTATGAGACAGTAAATAGTATGAGAGAGAACCCATTTAAACTCAACAGGTTACTTTTTTAAAATTATTTAAGCAATTAAAAGGCAGTTTATATGTAAGGATCAGGGATTTTAAAAGTTAAAAGACTAATTGATTTCTGTTTAAAGTACAGTTTGTGTTTTACCAATATGATTTACTGTATAAGAAGCACATTTTCTGAGCATGTTTCTTCAGTGTCTATTCTCAGCTCAACCCTTTTCTAGTCAATAAACCTGTGGACAAACTGATCACTGTCTCCAGAGTTTTGATGAACAAAAGGTGTTTGTTTTACTGCTGGGTTATATTTGGAGCATACAGCAGGAATGGCCTACACTGTAAAATGGTTTGTTGTTACTTTAAGTACATGTTGTGTTTTCTGAAATATTCTGTTTTCATATGTTCTTTGATCTTTTATCATTTCTGAAACTTTTCTTAATTCGTATTCGTTTCCTGCATTTGCTTTCTGTTTTCTGTTCTTTTTTTGCATATATATTTGTTTTCATTTATATTCTTGTTTCTATTTTGTTCTCATGTTTCTTGAAATTATGTGCACTCTTAATTGTTTTTTCTCTTTTGTTTTCTTGTTGAAATTTGGAAATGTTTTGTTTTCTGAAACTTTGTTATTGATTGCACTTTTTTACATTTGAATAGAGATTAATGTTTTTAGATGGGAGTTTTGGAATATAGGATTCATTCTTCTTATAACAAGTAGTAACATTGTAAATTGTTTTAGCACAACAACATATCAAGCGGGTATGAAACAATCTTTACCAATTATGATATCAAGAACTATAAACACAACTAAAAAGCAAAATGAGAAGGCATCTTGCCAATGAGTGGAGTTGTGACAGCAGTAGCAGGCAGCTCATTGGTCAGGTTGACTCTGAAGACTGTGTACCCCAACAGTATGGTGATCTTAAAGGCGATGCGTGTCCCGCTGTTTAGAGGCAGGTAGAAACTCACCACATCTACCAACATGAGGAAGATGCTGGGGATAAGGAGGCCCACCACATACAGCAGGGGGCGCCGGCGGATCAAAAGCTGGATTAAACACAGAACGGACGCCAAAACCAGTAAGTCAAGTGAGCAGCCATTTTTCTCTGTGAAATCAAAGAACCTACACCCATGCATGCTCAAGAAACATAACTAACTCAATCTGAAAATGAAACACTGTACGGGTGGGTTTTTGTTTTGTGCATTTGCATTTCATGAATATTACCAGATTAAATAGTAAACAAACCTTTTCTCAGAATTTGAGATGACATATATGTCCCACAAAAGATGTGAAAATTAATACGAATCAACTCTGGGAAACAAAATTGCCACAGTGTAACAATATCTCACTGAGCCATGAAATGCTCCATTACCAAAAAGCCTTCATTCTATGAGCTGAATAAATAGCAGCCATCCCTGCTCTCCACCTGCAATGGGCTGTGGGGCCATTTTGCTCCCAACTAACAAGAGGTTCATTGATCAGGCAGCCACTGAGACAGTCTCATTATGGCTGCTCACCCTCCCCTGTCTATCAGCTTCTCTCACTATCTGTCTATTTGCTTGCCAAAAGCAGCTTCAGCCTCATCATTTGGAATTAACTCTGTTTCTTAAACCATGAAGGTCATGAAGGTTTGCTTTACACTTGACTATTTCAGCGCACAGAATATCGGGTCCTACCCCCACATATACAGTGTGTGATAGAAAGACTTATTCACTGGACTGTTATAGAGCCAATATACCTTTGATTCATCGATAAAACTAGGAGAATGGGTCTTAAAACAGCTACGATTTTTTACTGTCCTCTGTCTGAGATGCCTCATTTAACCTGGGCCCATTTGGATAAAAATGATTACTTGTTTGAGTCAGTTAGGTACATACATTGAATTGAATCTGGGCGTAGTCGGTGTTGTCTTGGCGGATCCGTCTGTACTGTGATGGAATGGACAGCAGTTCCCATTCTCCATCATTCATGAACTCCCTCTTATCATTAGCTATGGCCTCTGCACTCCTCCACAGAGCCAGGTCTATTTCGTTCACTGCCGAGAGAGAGATAACACTGAATAACAGATGGTAGGAGGTGGAAACACAATGGAAAAAGGCAGTAAATATTTATTTCCTTGTTGTATTGTGTGTTATCAACTATATTTCACAGCAAAGGCGGTTTATGTTATAGCGTAAAATTCAGTCAAAAACATCATTGCTCCTCTTAGATACACAAAAAATCTTTACCTAGCTATTTAACAGAGGTTTTCAATATAAGTTTGCAACATATTATGAAATTCTATCTATTAAGAATTTGATCTGTATGGTCTCATTTGTTGGTGTTGGTAGTTCAGAAGACATGTTATAATTATTTTTTAATTTTCATTCATTCACTGCTTTAACTGTTTTTGTTCTATGGCCAAAAAACTGACTGTGTTGTTTGATTCTAGTGCTAATTGATTCCTTTATAGACTTACTCACAGCTTTCAGATGCGATGTCATATACTATTCTAGGCTTCTTCTCTTAGGATCCCACTACTCAGGAGGACAAATTACAATTTCAAGTATCCTTAGGTGATTTGTCTTTTAAATATCTTGCCAATGCTCATCTTTATCTTGAAAAGTTTATTGTTTCTTGGAAAAACTACTAAGGATTCATCCTTATTTGGAGGAAACACACAAATTACAGTTTTTGCTGCCAGCTAAACTATTCATTATATGTATTCGATTGACCAGAATGAACATATGAAAAACAAAAGCCACTTATAAAAAAATATTTCACATAGGAGCTGAATTAATTTGTAAAGAAGCTTCAAAATGAAAAGAGGTTTGATGGAGTTGCAACACTTTGTGCAAAACTTTCAGTGATTCATTGCTACAAGTCAGATGTCCTAACCACCATGTGAAAACTGTAAGAATGATTATTAAAAATGGTTGGGGTATAACAATCATGGTTTAAGTTCTCTAGTTAGTTGTAAGAATGAATTAAGACAAACACCCAAACCACATTCCAAAATATTCTAATGATAAATGAAAAATAAAATAAAAACACTTCAGCAGTTAACTACCTTTAAAGTAACCTGAGTATCCCTTCTGAAACTGACTTAACTGACCTGAGTGAAGCCAGCTGCGGAAGGTAAGGCTGCAGTTCTGTTTGTCAAATGGGAAGGCATACATTTCCAGGCTACAAGCAAGCACAGCCTGGATGGGCCGGTAGTTCTTCACGGAGCCAGAGGAATTTACATAGACATATGGGATTGGAGGAGACTTCCCCTCTTCCACACTAAGAAACACAAAACAGAGTTCAAATGGGAACTTTGGGGGAAATGTTTGACCAGTCAGACTGTTCTTGTACTTGTTTTTTTGATCATTTTTTCATTTAGGGGAGATATATTGATTTACCTGGATGTTAATTGTTAGTATTAAAGCAAATAAGATTATAGCAACAGTAAGAATAAGATTCTCTTTAATGGTTTAATATATTGTATTCATGGGTTTGAAATTATTACACCATTTATCACCTATAATTTACATTACTGATAAATGTTTTTTAAAGACATAGTAGTAAAGCTCATCTCTATTCTCCACTTATAAAGATACACTGAATCTGAAAACTTGTTTTTGTTCATTTGTTTGTAAAAAACAGGGACACACTAAAATTAGCAAGCCTGCCTTAATGCAAGATTTTACTCTATCCCACGCTTATATTCTAATGTAGTTAAATATTTGTAAGTCTTTATCTAGGCCAATATTCAACATATTTTTAATATTTTCAGCGGGTAACTTCAAGTCTGTAACTTGCCTAAACAATACTCAAGCAAGTAAAAGTTAGACATATTCTGCAACGTTTCTGTCATTCCTTACAATTCACTAACAATAACATCAGGAATCCAGATGGCATCAGATGACATGGAGATCTCATTGATGCCATCAAACTCTTCTGGATCCCAAACAAGGAATTCATCTCTCCAGATCTGAAAACAGAAAGGATTCTTATTTTCTTTCAAATATATTCTCATTATAACCATGAGAACAAAAATTAAACCCTGCTGTTGCACACAATTGAAAGTAGGACACTATCAAACTGCATTATCGGTCACACATTGCCACATTTTGCAAAGTAAACCAAACTCACACGGTTTTTCACAAGTCATTCAAATGTAAAGTAGAATTTATTCATTCTATTAGTGGTGAATGGAGCTCATTGAAAGGCTGGCCAGTCAACATGGACTTTCATAACCTCTTAACCATGAAAAATTAAAAGTAGAAGGCAACCTACCTGTCTGTACCAAATACTTGTCGTAATGCTCTGAGTCTTTCCATCCTGAAAACAGGAAGCTATTGTTATGGCTGTCATTAAATGTATCCACAGTATCTACAGTGTAAAGCCAATGAACAAAGTCGTGATAGAAAATTTGTAAATTAAGGACCATGTTTAGCTTTCACACCATTAGAAATTATAAAGTGGCAACAGAATATTCATGAGGAATTTGCTTCTCTTGGTCTGGCAGTCATTCATGTGCTTTTTGGCAAGTTCCCAGTAAACTGTCATGTGTTTGTTTTTTTATCAGGAATTACTTTTGTTTGCATCCTCTAAAATAAAAACCCTTCATGGGCAGAACAACGCACTGAACTGAAGATTTAAATAAATTAGTTGGTGTTCAACTCTAGAAAACCTTTTACAAACCACAATTTTATGACTACCATCATTCTTTTCTCCTGAGACAAAACATGCTTGAAAGGCTAATTCCCTGTAAATGGCATGTTTTAAGGGACAAAAAAAAATATATAAATCATTTTAAGTAATTGAAATAAGTCATTTACAAAGACAATATTCAAAGCGGACGTACCACTTCGAGGACGGATTGCATTATGAGGTCGACATAGACGGTGGTTGGACTGGTCCATCTGTGAACAGGCCGAACGCCGCAGTCATAGTTCCGCAGGAGGGTCCTGGTCAGCTGGTTCAAAGTGGATCTCTTCGGCTTCTCTAGGGCGCATTCAGCCAGATGAGCTAAAAATTAAAGATGGGTTAGGGTTAGGGTCACTGCCACTCATTGGGCAGAACGATATTTTGTGTTCCAACAAAATGTAGGTTAATATTATTTAAGACTGACATGCACGGGCATCCACTATTGATTTAGATCAGTCCTTTACACACATGTCTCAACCTTCCTTGAATCTGTTAATGATGTTAAAGGACTGTCGATAAGGAAATGTCCAAAGTGGTTGTAACTTGTCATGGAATCTTTATTTTTTTTGCAAATGCAAAAACATTCTGATAGATACTTCCTTCTCTTAGCTGCTCTTTTTATCATCTTTTCAGCTTTTGCTTTTTTGTCTAATTTTAGTACTTTCCAGACTTTTGTATCAGCTGTTTCAGCTTTTTTTAAATCAATTTAATTACTTTGAATTGCTTTTAAAATTGTAATATGTTGGCTATGTTCTCATGGAAATTCACAGTTTATTTGATTTGATTTAAAAATCAGTGCATTCTGCTTCAAATATGTGCAATTGACATATTTGCCCCTGTAGGGGTGGGACAAGGGTTTCCTACAAAAAAATTAATTAAGAATAAAGAAAAAGATTGTACATAAAATCTGGGGTTTATTCTAAAACTTATTGTATCCATGGAAATTCCTCTCATTAGTGGAGCTCCGGAGAAGATATAGTGAAGTTAAAATTGCTCACTAGGAAGGTGTACTGTAACTATTGAATCCAATGGTTTAGTGTGTGGAAGAAATGGGAGCCAAAGGTGAGGCAGTGGTTTTAACAGGTTAATTAGTTTTTTTTCTAAGCTTAGTTTTTTTTTTCAATATGGCTGATTTCTACATATTTTTAAAATAAAGGATGTCAGATATGTTACATTAGTTCCTGTGTTAACACACAAGCAGGACTGGACAGGAAACATGCTACGAATATCCACAGCAATCACACAGTACAAATTCAAATTTTTTTTAATTAGTTTCCAAGCTGTGCTATGTGTTCATTACCCAAGGTGCAGGCTCGCCAAACTAGGCTATTTAAAGTTTTTTAGAAACTGCTAAACTAAGGTGACGTATCATTTTTAAAAAGCTGAGGTTTTTGGGTCAAAACCCTTCAGATAATATCTGACTTACCACTTGTCTTAAAATGCAAATTCAGAATAAATAAAACCACGTATGTCAGTTAAAAGGGAAAAAAAGAATATCTTACCTGAAAACATCAGGATCAAGTAAATTGGAGACATGTTTTTTTTAAAGCCGTCCTAATTGCAGATGTTTTCCAAGTGTCGCATTCAAATGTGTCCTCTAGAAACAAAGAAATATCCAGTTTCAGAGAATAAGTTCAACTGTAGCAGAACTGATAGGAGGGAACGTGCAGTGAATATGGCAGTGCAAACATCTTGGTTGGGCTGACATTGATTTTCCACATCCTGGGTAAGGTGATATGGATGTTAGTGAAACACGCTGAAGAGAAAACTCCCTGGAGAATGGTTCAGTGACAATTCAATACTTCAATGGATTCTAAACATCAGGGCGTCCGTTTGTGTTTTTGCTCAAAAAAGGAATGGGGTTGAAAGTCCCTGCATGATAAAGAAAACACATTTCTGTTCTATTGAAAATGAAAGTTTAATTTCAGAAATGTGTTTAAAAGGCATTCTTCAATGAGCTCTAGCTTCTACCTTTTTTAATTGTATGTGAAAGTCACATTTAGTCTATCTTTAAAGGCAGCAAAACCAGTTAATTATTTCAAATCGAGAGAAATTCCCATAAGTTTCAGTAAAACCATGGTAAGTTATCAAACATTTTCTTTCTTTCTTTCTAACCCTAACCCTAAACTGTCAATTTGCAAATAAATAGTATTTGTCTTTTAATTAATTTTTCCTTTTTTTTGTCTATCACATTTTGTTGTTAGATAAGTTTATTCAAATGTATTCTTTGATTTCTGTTGCACTAGCCAAAATCGCCAATATGTCAAATATATATTATTTTATTTCTTCTTAAATGTGAAGACAAATTCGCCTCAAGTTGGATGTTTTAGCTCGACAAACTCCAGCACAGCCATTTAAAGTCAACTATATTTCTATTGTTGGAGCTTTGGAACCTTCATAGAGAAATACTGTTCAGTGGTTAAAGTTAGAAATCAAAGTTAGCAACGCAGAGACGTTTAGCCAAGTTGCCAATGCGCGCGTGCCACAATCTGCGACCCACCGCGTGCGCGCGCGCCCTAACAGGTGAGCGCGCGCCCAACCGGCCGCTGTTCTCTGCGCTTGACAGATGGAGCTAGTTTGAAGAGGACACAGTGCGGCAAGAATTTTGGAGGAAAACACCAAGAAACACGTGGTTTCATCAGCAATGAGAGCTGAACAGACTGAAAATGGAGAAATCTCAACGAACCCGGTGAGAACAAAGGATCTTGGAGCCACTAATAACGAAATAAGTGACATGTCTTCATGAGAATGGCTGGAGAACTAACCTTAACACTAACCCCGCTGTTGTGTGGACCGAGCCCTAAAAAGACCAAAGCAGAATTGACAAAGCAGCTTTTTACAGTGGCCTCTGACTTTAAATAGAAACAGTATATCTAAAATGATTAATACCGTTTGGAGCATTCCTGAGTGTTGTTCAAATCTTTAAAAGAAAGTTTATCTATAAGCGTTCAGTGATTCAGCTTGGAGGATGACCAGTCTGACAAATTTGTATTTTTAGACCAGCTGCCTACAAAAATACTCACACCTGCCAACTGGTTGAGTGAATAGAAGCCAGAGAAATCAAAATCATTCAAATAAGATAAAGTACTAAATCAAAGTTTCAAAGCAATCAAATGGCGTCTTGATTATTTGGACAATCACCAAATAAAAACTAATGATATCATGATCTCAGAATGAAAGTAAATTAATCTGACAAAAAAAGAAAGTGCAGTTATAGAAAAGATTAAAATGAAGGAAAATTTTAATGCGTGTCTCTATTTTCTGTATGGCATTGATGTGGACGGGGTGTGTGTGTTGTGTGTGTGGGTGAAAGAGGAAGAGAGGCACTCAGTGCCCGGTGGCATGGTGAGTGGAATGATAAACAGAAGCCTGTGCTATCCATGTCAGTCGCCTAAAATAGAGGCTAACCGAGTGGGTCTCAGATAGCCCCTGGACTCCATATAAGTGTGGTCGGTCTGCTTTTGGTTTCTTGAGTGTACATATGTGTGTGTGTGAGAGAGAGAGACAGAGAGAGAGACACTGACATGAGCACCTGCTGTTTGGATTGCAAACTTAATATAGCACATCTTACCTAGCACCAACGCGTGTAGTTTGTGTTTGTTCACTGGTTTAAGTGAGGTTAAGGGGATGTCAGCCTGTTTTAAGTTCCTCGCAGTTTGAATGTTAGTTAAATGAAACAGAAGGCTACAACAATGTATTCAGCGTTTAAATTACATTAATAATGGCATATGTCAAGAACGGATGGCAAATTTGGGCGAAAGCTCCAAAATACCGCACATGATTTACATTTATCATTCTACCCTTTCTAAAGTTTCACCCTCAAATGACACTAACAGCATCATATGTGTTTTTACAGTGTCTTTCGGACTGATAAAACACCTGATTTGAACTGTAAAGCATGTCTGTGGAGGGCATCTGATTTGAGTTTGTTCTGTTGCCACAGGACCTGGACACCTTTTAGACACTGAGCCCACCAGGAGCTCCTCTGTATGCCAAAGTATTCAGAGTCAAATGTAAGCCCATCTGAATAAAAGCTAAAGCTTGGCTGAAACTGGGTCATCGGCAGAGCAAAGATCCCAAACGCAGCAGCAAATCTAAAACAGGTTGTCTGAAAAAAATAAAAATCAAGGTGCCGCATTGGTCCAGATCTCCTGCTGAAATGCTGTCGTGGGACAAAAATAAACAACACAGTGGGCAAAACTACATCTTACACCATGTTAGTGACTAATAACACCAATAACCAAATGTTTACTTAATCAAGATATTGAATAAAGGGTGACAGATTTACGATTCCATTTGAATTCAAATTTGAAAATTTGGTTAAATCTGAAGTTGTCTTCACCTCAGATAATGACTTGAGAAGAACCAGAGGATTTTTTTTTTACATTCTGTCTGCTTTAAAAGGAAAAGTCAGTAAGTGCCACATTGTTGTTTAATCATGTTTCTATATGGCACCGGTTTTTAACACAGCTAACAGTTGCAATTGTTCTGACCCAGAGAACATGAGGGCGTCATGGGAAAGACAGATTGTCATTTGTCCTTCAGCTCTTTATATATCTCAAGTTTGTCTGCCTATGTGGGTCATAAGCTAAAGCTGAGAGCAGAGTGAGCCATGTCATTTAAGTCCCATATGGTCTTTTGTCCCTTTATTTGAAATCATACAAAGTGATTAGTACCATGTTTTAACATTTGTTTTTGTAAGAATTGTTATTCTTTTCCCTTTACTTCCACTAACACACCAAATGCATATCAGGGTTGTGACCCAGTTGTGCCTCTTTGGTCGGGATACAGAGAGTCAAACTCATAATGATCTTACTTTTTATGAAGTAAAAGAAACATTTCTTCTCTTTTTCTCAGCAGAGTAAAATGCTGATCAGCCAGCTGAAGGAGATCACTGGAATCCAGGACCAACAGATTCTCTACAAAGCCCTGAAGGTAAGAAGTTACCAGCTTTCAGAATCTTTGTGATGCAAAAAAAAAGGCCGCTGGTCAATTGTTTGTGTGCTTTTTATTATTCGTGCATGAGTCGGTTGATCTTAGGTTTTATCTAAAATGCAGGTAATATGAAGAGAACAAAATAAAGAAAAATAAAAGGTACGAGACGAACAACGATTTTAATAAAAGATAGTCCAGGTGGATGTATTTTCATTTCGAGATGTCAAATGTTAATTTAGTTCTGCAGAGGACATAAATGCCTATACAAAGTATTATAAATGTCTACTGCTCTTGCCACAGTGCAAACTGGCTATAAAGCATAGTCCTTGAGGTTTTCTTTTAGGTGTATACCCTGCTAATGAAAGACTCCTTCTTGGCCAATTGTCCTCCCTATACATTTAGTGTAGTAACTTATAAGTACAGAGATAAAAGTCTCACTTATTTAAATGTCGGCCTTCATTCAACCATGCAGGGCACAACATTTTGTATGTTTCAATGTTGTGTTTTCCCCTGAATTCCACACAAAATCATAAATGAATGCATTCAGTTGGCTTTTGTCACTAAATTTAGACAATGCTTAAAGTTTTCAATGTTTAAAGTGTCCATTTTATATCCTTGTTGTGTCGTTTTAAGGCCAGCCAGGGGGACGTTGGACATGCAGTTGGACTGCTAACGACCCAGCCTGCAGAGGCTCAGGACCCTGCAGCACCACAAGAGTCAGGGATGTCCAGAGAGACCTGGGAGGGTAAAAAAGGTACTCTGGAACAATTAAAAATATACAACAGCATAAAGCTGTGCATTGAGAGAGGGCTGACAGATACCAGACTGAAATAACAACTCGAGTATGACAGAAAATGTTGTGCTCAAAATGTAATTTCTGTATTCTGAAATGATAGCATATTGTATCTTAAAAGTCTATGCAATCGACAGAAAACAAATACAATAATGCAAAGAAATTGAAACATTCCTCCTCCAATTTACCATCAGATGTCAGTCCGTTTTAAACAATAGTGTATTATTTTTATTGATAAGACAATATGTATATTTTTTCATATACTGTTTAAGATATTTTGCTTGTTGGTGGGTTGATGACAGTAATCTAAAATGTTTGTCCAGATGGAACTAGATATTGTTTGACAGTAGATACTAATGACAGGATAGACTGTCTATAGCTATGACCAATGTTTTCCATAAACTGACATAAAAGAGCAGAGTACCTGTCGCTAATTTGAAACAAGATTTAAAGTTTAATACCATGTTTTGCAACAAAATTCAGGGGAGTTACGGGAAGTTACTTAGTCATTTAATGTTCTGTGTCTTCAGCCCTTCCGAAAGATGAGCTCCAGACCGCAATAGAACTCAGTCTGCAGGAGTCCCACGATGCCCAGGAAGAAGAGAGAGAATTTCACAGGTTATAAAACAGATTCACACACAAACACAAACTTGTTACTCTGGAGAAACATCTTTATTTGCACATTTCAGCCTCAGAGTGGACTCAATTTTAGTAATGAAAACTACACACAGTTTTACACTACGAGAGGCTTAACTGTTTAGTGGCACATTCAGTAGTGCTTCAAATAATTCAATTGTTCATTTGTACATTCGGATCTATATTTTTAAAGATTGTTCATTTGTACATTCGGATCTATATTTTTAAAGATTGTATTTTTCAGTTTTATCATTTCTGTCCTATATTTTTATTTTTACATTTTATTTCTTGCTTCTCATGGAAGTGTTGTGTTGTGCACCAAACAGTCAAGCAGCGCTTAATAAAGTTATCAGATCAGTGCTTTTATAAAGGTCATTTGATATTTTACAGGGCTCTGGAGGCCAGCGCAGAGGACAATGCCGCAAGAATGAAGAGGAAGAGATGTGAAGCCCAGAGTGAAATGTGCAGCCCGGCAGACTGGATCCGTCAGGATGAGTGGCCCGTGGGCATTCGCAATGTAGGAAACACCTGCTGGTTCAGCGCTGTGATCCAGGTGAAAAAGACACGCTTCGTCATTGCAATGACACAACAATAATGCTTTAATAAAAGCTAATTTCTTATCATTTTTAAGCTCTATCAGGCCCCTGGTCGACAGCTCCAAAAATATACTGAACATGCTGGATCCAATCACAATAGTAAAGCTAATTCAAAAGTGATAGCAATCTCCTAGTGGGAACACTGATATTTCTTTTTGTAGACGACACTAAGAAAATAAAAAATAAGAAACCAATGATAAGATTATCAAAGAAAAAAAGAGAGAATTCTAACAGGCTCATGTCTATCTTTCCATCCATTTTCTATACTTTTTATTAAAAGAACTGTCAAACGGGGCATGGGGCTTATTCCAGCTGTAAGCTACAATGAGGAAATGAACATTACATCGTTGAACATTACGGATGGGAATATTATTAACACCTCTGCATGGAAATAGACATGACCGAGAAGACCATCTGATTCTCTGAAAGTCTTAAAATTAGCAAATGAGACGTCATGCCATTATTCATTTAACAATAACTAAATGAAAATGGAAAAGAATTGTTTGAAAACTAAGTACACTCCATTCCTTAACAGCTTGTACGGCAAACACTATGAGCAATAACTCAAAGTATTCAATTTTCTATGTAATTTTATCAGTGGAAAGCGGAGAAATAGAACATCCACTCTTTAAAACAGTGCTTGAGTTGATGGAGGTTTGTTTCCTGGCAACCCATGCTTGATAGTGAGGGTAGCTATTCGGCCCGCCACACATCTCCATCCTGTGTGGAATGCAAAATGTAGTATTTAAAACAGTCGGAGCGGCATTAGATTTTATCTGCCAAGACTTATTGATTTTGTTGTTATCCCGTTTGTCACATAGTTTGGCTGGAGCCAGACACTGATGGTACACTGCTTTTTCAGGAGATGTGTGGCTTTCTAGTGATAAGATATATGCAACAGAGTAGGTTAGTATGTCTTGTATGTCATTTGTGGTAATGGACGCATCTGAGCACTTATGTATATCTTAATATTTCCATTTGAGGAAATTCAATCGTGACTTATCTTAGTTATACGGTAATGTTTACCACATAGCAGAGCAGAGGAAAAATAATCTGTCAATTAAGTCATGCACTCAGCTTCAACCTGGAAGGGTGAATCCTTTTTTAGAAGAGCCTGCCTTATTTAACATTTTTAAGTTCAATTGCAAGAATCAGTACTCACAAAATAACAAACAAAAAGGGGATCATAAGAAAACAACGACAACGCTAATTATGATGCTTCACTTTCCTGTGTTTGCCACCCTTTCTGTTATGCTCTGGCATTTAAACTCATGCAGAAATATACCTGAATTCATCAGAATTGTCGTGGTGGGAAGACCACCGCTAACACTATCGTCACATCACTTGCTACCTAATTAACCGCTCATCCTGTGTATCTCAGCTGGGGTTTGGTTTCTGCTGGGCTATCTGATAGGCCTGGATGAGTCTGCTCTGAAATGGACTTATAATGAAATTAGGAGAAATATCACTTGCTCTAATTTAGCAAAAGGTCACCAACGCATGTTTGTTTCTGGCTTTGATGTGTACTCTTATTAGTTATAATACAATCAATCGTGAAAAAAACTGCATTTATTTTATAGTGACGTCATGTAGCTGCAATTAGTTTTAAATAATTTTACTCGGACTTGAAATTAATCATTTTAAATGTATGTACTTATTTTATATTCAGCAAAATATGAAACTGGGTTTGAGAGATCAGTGATGGACAAATACATCTGCAGGGAACTGAAAATACATTATTTTAAAGGAGAATTTCTAAGTCTATATATGTTTGTTAAACTAAATCAGAGAGAATGTTAAGGATTGGGAGCAACTGAAGTGAACAGGTTGGTAACTTGGTAACAAGTCGATTTCATTTTTAGGATTGTGTATTCCAATTCACATCATATTAGTATACTATATTCTGAGGTTTAGGGGAAACAATAACTCATACATAAGTTATACATTGGGGGTTGGAGTTAGTGTTTTGTTCAGTTTTGACATTTTGGATTTGTTTTTAATAACAGGAATTTGGTGTCATGGATAAATATAGATAGATAGATAGATAGATAGATAGATAGATAGATAGATAGATA